GCCAAACTAAATGAGCATCGTCAGGTGATCGGTAAGGCTGCAAGTTAAATCAGCCCTGCAACCTCCTGCATAGAAGATAATATTAATTAGTGGGCTATGAGCTGAATTCCTAAATTTAGACACAAACCTATTTACGAGGCATTATGTACCAGCAATGTTACCTACAATTAACTAAATATGTAATATGTCTAATAAATTCACCTACTAAAGCAAATTCAATAAGTGCAAACTTTGTGTTATGGAATTGTATCGCAGCACCGTTAAGAGAAGTAAAAACAGTTTTGCATAACACCCTCTTTAAATGAAATTTCAATGTTTAAGCGCAAACATTAAAATTACTAACTTTGAACTTTGTCATTATCTGCAAAATGTTCCACACAAATCTTTACGCTATCGCGTTTGTTATCTTCTCTGATAAAAAAAAACGTCTATGATGTCCAGAATTACTCTAGAGATTATTTTCTTTCGTTACAGGCGCAAAAAGGCAGGTACTACACGTAAAGAGGACGCCGAGTAGCAAAAGCGAGCCGAAAACGGTCGCGAAAGGCGACGAGAAATATGTGCATTGGAGCGTATCATGAAATACAATCTTTCGCATGTAGTCTTATGGAGTGACGTCAGAGTTGCCTATCATGTTGTGTAATGTCATTGATTTAACACTGGCAAACATAAGGATTATACTCTCCCATCCAACAATGATTCACCGAAGAAGCATGTGGCCCTCAAATCAGTTCTTGAGTCGGAAAAAAGCAAGTGTAGGACAAATAGTCAAAATAATTTATGCGAGTGTGCCAAAATCAACTTAAATTGCACAGATTTTTGTTTTTGTATTGACTGCAAAAATCACAGTACCCTTATAGGGGAAAAGTCGATTTCCGAGATAGTGGATTTCGAAAACAATTCAGAAGAAAGTGAATTGGATATTGCAGTTGATTTAATAAGTATCATTTATCTGTTTGTTTTTTTCTGACATTTGTTAGTGTCGTTGTCCTGTTTCTAGAAATAATATTGCCTTTGTTCAAATACATAACCACATAAACTAAAAAAAGACTAATTGTAATATTTCTGTTCATTATGTTATGTACATACTGTACATTCATTTAATTTTTTTGACTTTTCCAGTAAATTTCTATGTGAGAAATAACGGATTTATTTGTGTTTTTGTGCTCACGATGTTAATTTGTGACTTCATTGCTTAAAAATAAATACGTTTGATAGCTTCTATAAAATGGATGTAGCTTCTTATGCTGTTCTTGTTGTAAACTGCTCGTGGTTATTACATAAAATTTATTCGCTAATGTGAATCAGCGTTGTTGGTTTCGCTGCTTGAAGACCTTTCGAGGTCACTCGCGACTCCTGTCACACAATTAAGTATTTTTTGTTGTTGGTTACATGTATGCCATATTTTTCGTAATCTACCTGATAAATTATGATTGACTGAGGAAGTCTGATTTTGGTCAGGCAAAACGTTACAGGAATACATTTGTGTTAGTGTGCTGTAGGGCTTTCGAACTGCATAGTTCTTATGTATGTGTTGTAAACTTATGGTTGTTGAATTTCCGGGAACCTCTTATATTCAATTTTGCATCAGGATTGTGGAACAAGCTGTAATGCGTTCAGTATGTTCATCTTCACACAAAACTGAAGAATTTATTTAGTTACCAAATGTGCGCTACGAAACTCATTTTCTGGGCGTTTTCAAGGCTTCGTCTCACGGCCCATATCCGCGGTAAGGATCTACAAGTGTTTAATAACTTACTTATACTTTTTAACAACGTCTTAGCATAACTAAACAGGGCTATGGAAAGGCTGCCCAACTTTCTAGGCGTTTTTCAGTGCCTCGGCTCGCGGCCTAAACTAAAAACTAACAAATAATTGTGATGTTTACAATCACGCTCAAATATCTGTTTGAGCAAAAGAAGTATCTGAGCGGCCGCATTAATTGCATTTGTTTCGTCATTGTTAACGTATTGCTGATTTGTAATTGTGACGGAAAAACATCCATACCATATCGTACCATGGAGGTGTTCTAATTTGAAAGATAGGTGCCGCTATCGGCGCTAAGTGTTGCTGGGAGTCACTTTGCTGGGGAAGAAGAGGACGATTTACCAGGGCCGACATTTCCAGACTTTAGATGTTTTATAGATCTGTAACTGGATACTGTACGCCAAAGTTTTTTTCATTACCGATACGGTACCGTATCTCACATAAACAGCTGAAACAGAGACTACCAGGTACCGGTACGGTGCCTCATACCGTTACGGTACTGGTACATGGCCCTGCAAATTTGATTGTTTCAAAATGTGTGTCTTTGTTTTCTGTCAGCAACATACCGGTACCGTAGGGTACCACATTCTGTCAGCTGTCATAAAACTGTAAAACATAGGTACGGTAGGTAGCCTATCTTAAAAAACATTATCGGCAGAAAGAAAGTCAGCTACCGGCACTGCGGTACCGGTACCGTACGATACCGTACAAAACTTCAATCTTGTAAAGTCTGAAAGTGGAACAATACCGAAACGTCATTTAGACTAAATACTGATGTTGAAAAAATTTAGGATAAGATAGGATCCACATATTTATCCCCGGGGAGAGGAAAGACGATAAGACGGCTTATTAACCATATTATACAATACAATACAATACAATACAATTTTATTTTATTGTATTGTATCCACCACCTCTTGTCCAGTTACCGTACCATTCCATGTCGTTGTCGGGTACTGGTACCGTATGTGATTAGTTAGTCTATTTGTTTCTGGAATCATGGACTGGATGGTGGAGGAAACTGTAATTGATCAGCGATTACGTGGAACACCCTACGGCACGAGGAGTCCAGCAATCCTTTTGCACATAGTCTACGCATCCCCGCATGGGATTCGAACCTGCGAACCCAAGCAGAGTAATTAGAGATGCTGTGGCAATGTTATATGTCATACTGTACAGTCATATAAGGAACCTGTTTCGATTAAAGAAAATATGTAGGCTACAGCAGAAACATAAAATCGCTCAGAGGCAGCTGAAGCAACAACATCAACTTCAAATGATCTTCGAAATCTACTAGCCTATGACTAATGTAATATAATGAACTAATAACTGTACTCTCTGCACAGTCCTGTCACCCAAAACGACGACGACGATGTATATTTTGGCATAGGTCAAAGGTCAAATAATCGCAAACATAACGCAATAAACCGTTTTGTTAGGGTAGTCTAGTAGAAAACCTAGTGCTGTAGTGCCCAAGGACAGGTCTGCAGGTAGACAAGCCCATTTTATTGTCAATTGCATGGGTTTTGGCATATGTGAAAGCCGAAAGGTGCGTGTTGCCTATAATCATTCAGTTTATAAAGTCTGAAAGTCAGAATTTGTCAGTAATGTTTATTGGTGGCTATCAAATGTCAAACAAGAACAAAGAATGTAATGTCATAATGCCTGAGTATGCCAGTGCTCCCTGAAAATGCACATGATTGAAATCCTATTATATCTGACAGTCTGGTGGTTGGTGGAATGCAAGTGCAGTTTCAAGTATTTTGTGGCGTCTACAGCTGCCGCAAAACCATGGCGGGATTTCCAAACCACGGCCACTAAGACCAAACCCACGGCGACTGACTTTTTAGCTGCCACAAACCAATAGCGAGCTGCCGTGGTTACGGCAGCAAATCGAATACCACCAATTTTACTGCCGTAACCACGGCAGGTCGGCTGTAATAGCAGGGCTGCCCCTAATCTGCTGATGGTGATAAATATTTGGTGAGTTGGAATGTTTTTCTTATGGATACAGTTTGGATGGATTTGGGGTTAGGGTTAGGGTTTAAGTAGATATAATTTCGCATGATAAACTAAAATATGGTACATGAATTTGTAAATATACTGGTAATAGCGCCATAAAACCATGGCAGGAGACGGCGTGGTACGTTCGTGGCAGGAGCTGCCATGAAGTGGTAAGAACTGCGCCTCGTGGAATGAGTCATCCACCAATAGGGTGGTGTAGCCAGTCTGCGGACGATTTCATTCAAACCGCTATAAAACAAAAACCAATATTTCTAACCCGTTAATTTTTTCACCGTAGGTGCATTGGCATTTATTCTACACGCTGAACTTCGAATTAACTTTCTACGACCAGGGGTTAAAGCTATACAAACCACCAAAGTACGACACTCTGAACTTCTGAAGATGTATTTGCGACCGAACGACCAGTGCGCGACCACGGATTTCAAGCCTTGAACATCGTTTCTGCTGCGTCGAGACTAGGGCATACGCAGCCATGCATGAAAAAATGGGCTTCTAATTGCATTTCTGACCGTCATATATTTTAAGAACACGATTATTTCAAACAAAATTCTTCAAATTATAAACAAACACTGCATCACAGCAATCAAACAGACAAAAACACGGTGGTCGCAAATTAGTTGACAAAAGATATTATTGACGTATTGGAAATGCGCACCCCCCTACTCCCCTTCCTTTGAAGGTAGAAACGCGAAACTTTAAAGATGGTTAAAAGAAACACAACTCTACCCACCTGCCAAGTTTCATCTCTTTATCTCTTATATTTGTATGGATTTTTAACCTTTTTTGAAGGAACAATGGGTAGTTGGCCACATGGTAAAATGGTCCGTTTTTTTTGTTCGGTCAGGTTTTCGGTCGTAACTTTTTTATTTGTGGCCGCATTTTAGTGTGATTTCGTAGAGCTACGAGGGATAAGTGGACGATAACGCGTGAGAAATATCGGCGTGGTTCGTTAATTTTTTCGGCATTAATTTAATCGATGAAGTTGATGGTCGCAGATAGGTCATGGCCGCAAAGTGGGTAAGCCACCCTAAACAGTGCTGACAAGTGCTAACATAACAAAGTCACTGATAATGAAAACCCTGCACCTTCCAGCTTTCACAAACACACCAAAATCCATTCCTATTAACAACTACCGGTAAATGGCGTCTTTTGAAACGTGAGTGAGTGTCTATCTTAGCAGTTGAATATGCGAGATTATTAAGCCGTGACTCGGGATCCTTGTTTGATTGGATATTAACTAACCCTTTTATTAATTTTCTAGCCAGCTTTATAGTAATTTCTCCTAAAAAAGAACTCACCCAACTGTCTGACTGTACTATTGCCTGTTGATAGCAAAATGTCATACGGATACCCATATCAGCAGGTAATTAATCTACCTTATTGCTTATTTATCAAATGGGAGCTCAATATTATGGTGATTTGTATAGGAGAATTTTATAAAGGTAAAACTATATGGTAATTGAAGATTTTAAATCGGGGAAATCCTTCAGTATCTACGTTTTTTATATTCTCGGTATCGTATCAAGTAGAGTAGATATATTCAGGTCTAGCATAATTTAGTATCGCAAATATTGATTACGAACTCACGAACGCCTACAGTCTCTCTGATATCTGGATTGTTCTGACGAGAAAACGAGAGAGCGTATGACTCTGTATAAGACGTAGCTTGCTCGATTTCTGATGATCATCTGCACGTTTTTTGACAACCATCCGTATATTTTGACAAGCTCTATTATGTCGTAGTGATGTTGGTTATTCAAATTTTCCATCAATTTTACAATAATGCAGTCATGTCATTTTATTTCAGGGTGGCGCACCACCTCCTGGTGGAGGATACCCACCTCAACCACAAGGATATCCACCACAGGGAGGATACCCACCACAACAAGGAGGTTACCCCCCTCAAGGAGGATATCCACCAGCACCTGGAGGTCCAGCATATCCACCTGGGCCGGGGGGACCTGGGTACCCACCAGCTCCCGGTGGAGCACCTGGATATCCCCCTGCACCTGGATATCCTCCAGCTGCTGGAGGTTATCCTCAGCCTGGAGCACCAGGGGCATATCCACCACCTGGACAATCGTCAGGTTATTTTTACCTTATGTTTTGTATTTATAATCCTAATAAGTGTTAAGGATGTGATAACTGTTTAAGTAGCTATTTTGGAAACTGGAAATTTGTTGTTTTTCATATAACAGTGTAAAGCAAGGGTGGCCGATCGCGATCGACCGGTCGATCGCCATTTCTAGAGTAGTCAATGGGGTCTGATGTTGAATGAGTTTGACATACCGGTAATACCCCAAAAGATTGCCTTGAACCAGTTCAATGCATCACATGTTGCATGTTTTAAAACAGGAATAATACAGTACTACATGCGCCGAAATACGATATGCACATAATACATGGCGTTCCAAAAGTAAGTAGGCCTATACATTTTTAATTTTGATTTGCCTTTCAGGTACTCATCATAGAGCGTTAATTTCTTCAGGAAACATAGTATGGATAAGTAGTGAAATTAAGGTCTTGTTTGCATTTTTCGACAACAGAATGACAAGAAGCTTAACCCAAGAATAAAAGTGAAAAATTGCAGTTTGGCAAGAAGCATATAAAACAGTAAAGCAAACTCAGCGCCTCTTTAACGGAGAATTTGGAATTAGTTCGGCTCTTGAGTCTCAATGTTTTTCTCGAGAGCGTCCGCTCCTTGGTCTTCCTGATCTTTGTGCATCAACTTCAGTTCCAGTTTCCAAATTTTGCACCTCATTCCTTGGTTTAATATCCTTGTCATTCTGTGGGTGGGGATGGGCAATATAGAATAATTTACTATTCTAGAATAGTTAAATCGAATCCAGAATACCGAATCCTATTCTATTTTTATACCTATTTAAATAGTGGGAATTTCCCACATTGCTGGATTTAGATTTTAAATTGTAAAAACAGGCATTTCCCAGAAATTCGTTATATATCTACCCAGACTTGGCCCTGCTTAAACAATAGGTTTTCAAATTTATCGTTGACTAAAATACCACAGACACTCGATCAAACGTATGCCAATCTTGAACGATAGAAAAAAGACTCGTCGATTTGAACAACAAAAAATATGTAATCTTTCGGGATTGAAAAATAAATGCCTTGTACTGCGATATAACTTCGTTTTTCGGAAAATGGTTTAGTAAAAATAATAAAACTATTTGCAAATAATATTGGATCTAAATTAATCGCAAATAATGTCATAACATTTGATGCCTGGCTTTTGGTTTACATCATTTTGTTGTGGAAAACTCAAAACTCGCTGGTCACGAAAATCATTTAATAATGTAAATTGAAGCAAGGCACATCTGTAAAAATTAAGATTGTTACAATAAGTTTATCGGAATATCACCAGTCAGCACAAATAATTATTATTATACGATAACTAGATAGTACAGCGGAATACGCAAAAATCGCCGAAGAGGCAGTAACCGGATCCTGTTATCGAATTCGGATCCTGTTGGATTCGATACTTTGGGATTCCAATCCTCCGGATTCGGTATTCCATATTGCCCATCCCTATCTGGGGTTGTCGAAAAAGGAACACAATACCTAAATTTTACTCCATACTATGTTTCCTGAAGAAATGAACGCTCTATGATGAGTACCTGAAAAGCAAATCAAAATTAAAAGTGTAAACTTATTTTTGAAACACCCTGTATAGTATTTCAGTCTTGGCAAGACCAATAGAGCATAATATTACGTAACAAATGCAAAATTTGCCGCTGCCAAGGTTTAGAAATGAACTTATAATATTGTGTGTCTTGACTAACAAGCGATCCTACAATAACTTCTGCAGTATATGTAAGCTACTGTCTCGCTCCTCCAAGGGTAGTGTGATAAATTTTATCTGCAATGATGCTCAATTTTTTCTAATTTCAATCGAGCAAAGAATCGGACTATGTGGGAATTGTAAATTTAGTACTGAAGTTCCATCAGTCATGTAACATTTATGGGTATGGGTATCTTTTCCCCACAAGTGCTAGCCAATAAGATAGCGTCAAGAATTTGTGATAAATTGTATATTCTCTTTGATGACCAAAAGTCAAGAGTTTCAATAAGCTGTGGTATTTTATAGAATAGCTCAAGCATAATTTATATTTACACACGTTTATCTGTTATTATTTATTCTGTCAAATTTATGTAGAATATACATCATGTTTTAACCTGTAAAACAATTGACTAACCATGAAATATTTTAGACAGTTCTATGAACCAAAACTGGTCCAAAACCACAAATATGAATAGTGTATTGTGCAGTTTTTGGTTCCCAATGAATTAGTATTTGAGAATTGACAGTTTAATAAAATCTGAATTGCTGTCAGTGTCACTTAAGTTTTATCCAAACGGATATTTTTTACACTTTGCACAGGTCTCGGATTCGATGCCTTAGCTGGACCTCCCCAACCAGCAGCACAAAGTTACGGCCAACCACCAGGTGGCTATGGATATGGTGCACCACCTGCACCAGGGGGTTACCCACCAGCTGCGGGCTATCCACCTCAAGCCCAGCAAGCTTATGGTGCCCAGCCTGCTGCAGGATACCACCCCCCAGCTGGGTATGGAGCCCCAGGACCTTGTAAGTAATCACTTTTGCTATTTCTCTTGAATATTAGGCTATTATATTCTTTTTTGTGGTTGACATCGAATTAGAAACTACGGTAAATATTTGAAAAGTTATATGTTTTCTGGCTGAAATACTTGGTTGTGAATGTTTTTGTTCATAAGTAGTAACAATATACAGATTTTTGCCGTAAGATAGTTTTGTATATATAGAGCTAGGATAGAAATTCATTGTTGTTTTGTTGAATTTGTGTGATGGTATTCATGGCCTAGATGGAAAAACAGAAAACAGTCAATTGATTGGAATTAAAATTCTATATTTTTTGTTTTTCCATTAGGACATGGAATACCAATATGTGAATTCACAAAAAAAGACTTAATACAAGCCGTGTCAAGTCGCTGTATTCATTTAGAAAGATATGCTATGAAGACCAGATTTCAGAGAAATCATTAAAACTAGAAATTCATTGAACAGTTGTACTTTTTAATTTAGATCTTTTGTATGCATAACATGTTGTGAGAGGCTTCCAATAGTTTTAAAAAAAATTTTGCGATTTTTTCTGTAGCATATCCCATCTTTGTTCAAGCAAATATCATATTTTGGATACGTTATACCCTATTTTCAATGATTTTTTTTACAAAGAAAGTCTTGATGATTTACTAGATGTATATTAGTCAATATCAATTTGGGCAACATGTTTAAATAAACTGGTCAAATATTTAATATAATCCATAACACATTTTTGACAATCCAATAGTAATCAGTTTAGTCTAATTCATCACAAAGTTGGAAGTACTGTATACCTCATAGTCATAAAGCAAAATGCCTTTTTCTAGCAAGGTACTTTCAATCTTACAACAACTGAATAACTTTTTTTACATCTTTCCAAGTTGATGAATTTTTTATGAATTTGCATCTATCTGAAAGTCTATTCCTGGAGATATGGGAACAGATAAACAGCTAGCTATCCCCGATTCGTCATATTTAGGCCTGTGTAGTATTTTATATTCTTCGCTTATATTCTAGTAGTTCTAGCATATATAGTTTGTTGGACAGTTATTCAGACAGGACTCACTTTTATTTTGCTTTTATAATAGTGAGATATTCTGCCCTTGCTTTCGATGATTTCCATCATGAGATATACCAATGAAATAGTATGTAATAGAGTAGTTCTTTTTTCATTTTAGCATACTAATATTGCAGCATTTTAAAGCATTTATACATATTTTTTGAGCTTTATCAACGATTATGCATAATTCACTCTGTATATTAAAATGTGTACTGTATTTTGAAGTATAGATTTAGTCAAGTTCATTTCCTTACTGATTATGCTGTATATATTAATGTTATATAGCTTGAAAATAATTGGGAATAATTTTCCATTTTAGAATGTTAATTTACTGACCAGTGGCCCCATAGCAGGTATTAGCATTTTATTGAAAAAATTTGTTTTAGTATCTTAGGATAAAATACCCATTAACCAACCAATTAATCCAGAATTGCTTGTATTTGATTATATTTTGAATATTTCTGATCTCACTTTAGATTCATGTTTAGAAAACTGAAATAGAATATGTGAAAAATTTTGAATATTTTTCTAACTGGATAGTTAATCCTCCAATTGCATTTGTTACTATCGTTATTACTTTTCAAAAAATGATATTAAACTATATGTTTGAAAATCTTTTGTAAGTTTAATAATCTCTGATTTTGATTGGTTAATAAGGCTTGTAATAAGATGAGTAGATACTGTTGGATCAACTTTAAATTTTAGTGAATTATTTTGGGGACATTGTTAAACAGGAAAGCAGGATTTTATTGTTTCAAATGTTAGACAGGAATGAAAATATGGTATATTATTAATTATAATATCGGAATGATAGGGTGAAAATAGAAAACAGGTGGTTTATCGACGCTGGAATTTATCATCATTAGATCACCAGATGATGCAACGTTTTCATACATTTATTTCTGCAGTTGCTCATTTTGAAACTTCTCCATCATGACAAATTATATCACAAATATCATTCTTACCATCTGAATATTTAGGATGTTTGCTGTAAAATATTTTTTCACAGTGAACAATATAAGATAATTGGTTTGAGTTTTTTATGTCAATATAATTACCGAAAACGTGAACAATATCATAATCAGAAATACAACACAGAGAAAGTAGGCTATAGGATAATTGCTCCTTCCACACTAATGTAAAAGCAAGTATTTAACACTGATCTGTCACAATTAAAATTTTAACACTCTCATAAAAGTCAAACACATTGTGCAGTTAAACCTTTTCTAATTGCTCAATGTATCGCCATACCTGATTTGCCATGACCATTGTAATATGAATAAAATATGTCTAATTATGAAATAAGTTGGAAACTCAAAAATTTGATCTCTTGTACTTGTTTTTGTACATGATTGTCACCATAAGAGATATGTTTGAGAAATAATGTCTGACATCCGATATCGACTTTAATGTTTGCTTACTATTTTTCATGAACCTTCAGGGATTGAGTACAAAGCACACCTTAGAATTATAACAGAAGGAAAATCACTCTTGTTAAAATAATGTGTGGTGATTGACTATTCAAAATACATCATGGAATACCAAGTATATTCTAAAATGGGTCTTTACAACAGAGATTTCACATTAACCATTCATTGTGAATTCAAGGAAATTAATTTTACAACACAGATTGTAAAGAATTTACGATAATTATGAATTGTTTGAATTTTTATTATTCTTTTTACAGTTTATTTTTTGGCTGGGGGGTGCATGTCAAATATTTCTGTTGGACCTGATTGGCGTTGATAATAGTATATTAATAGCAGCGCGGTATTGCAGGCTTTTGCAGAATTTGATTGATTAAGCACTTTGCAAGTAAATCATGAGATTTTTTTAAACCACGCCTTTTCAATACTTCTTTTCCCTTCTACCCTTATCGAAGTTCACTGTAGGTTATTCACATTTACTTATCTCAGACAGTTTTGCTGTTTAATATCCCAAATAACCGATTAATGAGGTTTTTGTGGTGGTTTTAATTAGTTGAACTTGCCATGGTGCCTCATAAAAAGAACAGCTTATTGTCTCTTGCTGTTGGACCCCTGTGGAGTTAAAAATTTTATTAATTCTTCAGTTACCTAATCAGGCATTATTTCTGTGAGATTGATGTGACATTTTCCTATTAACCATTCAACTTTGTGTCAATGTAATATCTCTGTAGCTCAGTTGATAATAGTGGTGATAGATTGATGGATATTGATCTGCTGTCTTATACCTCTCAGTATTATAAACTGCAAATTTTTCAAGTGAAGAGTCCATTTTCAGGCCATAATATTTTGTAGAATACCTAGCAGGCTTAGTTTGTACAAAATGAAAATAGAAGTGTTTGTTCAGACAGCCTAAAACAAGGATATGTAGCTTGTAAAATATTTTGACTTAAAGAAACTGATATAAGTCTTTTTTATAAGCAGAGTTTTTAGTATCATAATAGGAGGCAGTAATCATGTTAAGGTACCATAATGCTTTCAAAGTAATAAACTTAATATTGACTGATGCCACGCCCTCTTTATGAATCATGTATATTATGATTCATTATCCTAGAATCATATTGTGGTAAAAAGATAAGCGTTCATTTTGTCAATGCTCATATGATCACTAGATTGTATTATTATGTGTGTTGTTAAATCAGCAGTGCAAATAGTAATTATCATGTGACAAAATTCATACCTAATAATAGGATGTGGGTGTGTTAATTGTTTGCCAAGATTTGATAATATACGCTAGTTATACATTTGAATTGTCATCAACTTAATAATCAATTTTAATAGGCTTTAAACTTGCGTGTATGATATTGTATCAGAAGCAATAATTGTAACTGTGATTTGCCCACAGGTAATGATAGTGGCATAATAATGCCGGTGTTATGACTTTGTATTTGCCTGTGGCATGGTCATCCTGTTGACAACATAGTTTAGAAGTGGTATAAAATATGAATGATATTAACAAACGTAAAAAATAAACTGGCTTTGCAATGATAGTCTTAACAAACCACATTGTTTAGTATAAAATAAGAAAATAAAAGACCTTTAATCTAATAAACGTAAACATCACATGATCTAATTGTGCATATCACAAATGATTCATCGCTACATTCTTTGTTACCTTTTTTAAATGTTTAAATTATTCATCCTATCAGAGTCAAGATAATTATAATTCATATTAGCTACTTGTACACATTTTTTTAGTTTAAGAGTATGCTGTTGTTCATTATAGCCATCCTAATTTTCTGGGACCAGTTTATCAATTTTAATAGTCAACCATTCTCATCTTTTTTTCTGAATTCATTCATTCCCAATGTTTGTGTGAAACAAAAACGACATGAGTAGCCAATCTTTATTTACATATATTTTGGCTTTGGGAAAACCAGATCCTTACTGATTGGGCATATCCCAATGTTATTTGTAAAATTCGGGTACATTCCAACCACCCAGGACCCAAACACAAGTGGTTCATCCAGACCTAATATATAATAACTGCCAAACTATCAATCACATAACTTAGTATTCTCCAGATAATAAGGTGTGGCAATGACGTGGCTATGATACTCTCAAATAAGAATACATTGAATTTATTTTTGTTTTATATTGTGCATCACTGATCCATATCCATCAATGAGATGTGAATGTGATACTGTTAGTCACGTAGTTGTATCGATTTTTATGGAGATTGTGTGTGAATATGATATGCTAGTCTGCACATGGGACTTAATTTTGGAATGTAAAAGTGAATCAAACCTACTTGATAACTTGGATTTAATTTAAAATTCGGAAATTTTTTTAGTCAGCTTTTAGCTTTATATTTTAAAGCATTATGGTGGAGTTTGTTCTGTTTCTTACTGTAATTGTTGTTGAATAAATAATGTTACATTTTGGAAATTTACTCAAGATAATTTTTGTTTAATTTTTTTTAATATAATTTCTAGATTATCAGGCTTCTTCTTATCCACAAGGTAGGTGAGGTCAGTTGAATGAACAATACTTTGCATTTTGAATGTGTTTTTTGCATTGCATGCATTTCAGATTATCGTTTCGCAAGAATGATACTTTGGTGAATAACTATTTGCAAGCTCGATCAGAGTTATGTGCTTATAAGCCGGTCCCTTAGTTTGGCAATTTTTTTTGCAAGTTTTCAACTCTGCTTATATTCGAGAATATACAGTACTTTATATTCAACTTCTGTTTTGATTGAGCAAAAATTTGGTTTTATCATTTATTTAACTAACTATATGAAAATATGTGATTGTTTGCATATCCAGATATTGCTCAGTGCAGCAGTGGGTCCATGTTTCAGTGTTTGTAAACTACTAGCATGCTAGAGTGAATATATCCAACTTCATTAATTACTAGTTTGAATGAATAAGACTAAGCATTTATTGATAAAATACCATTTTGTGATGTTTGCTTTTAATGATAATATTTGTTTAAAGCTATTAAGCTTATTAGCATTACCTTGAGAAAAGAGTGCAGCTCTTGCATTAGCAGTAATCGTTTTTTTTTCTTTCTCTCAAATTTATTTACGATTGCAAGAACTGTTGTCTTTTAAAGCATCACTGATCTTGCCAGTTAAATGTGATTTTTAGTTTTCGTTTTGATTTTCTTGTTTGAGATTTTGTGCGTGGTTTTTGCAGACATCTAAATTACTGATTTGTTAACTTGAGTAAGTCAGAATGTGTCGTTCCTACTTATTTTATTCTTCTAGCTAGATATGTTAATGCCAATGAATACAAGCAATAAATAAATTTCAGCCCATTGTAAATTGATTCATTGTTTGTTTTGTTTTAGTCTAAATCTCTAAGTGCTATAAAATCTATAGCCTATGTTATTGCATTGCCTTTGTATTTGGAATGGATGAAATGCAGTGCCCAAATTTCGGTGGTATAACTGTAACAATTCAATACCTATAAATTGCATAAAATTTTCTGATAAATGGAGATATTTCAAATTTCCAAACTGAATTTTGCTGTGTTGTGGTTCATTTATTTAATAGCTTATGTGTTAAATTTTAATCATGTTAATGTGGTAACAAGTAAATGAGCCCAATTCATATTTTCACAAAATGTTCAACAGAAACACTAAATATCATAATTTATATGTTCAATTCAATGCATGGAATTTTACCAAAAATATATAGGGGTTAAAAACTGCACCAAATCCAAATTGTTACTAATTGACAATAATTTGGTTTACTCTGACCGCCTATATAGTTTCAATAAGCAAAACTGTTGCTATATATTTTCAGCACATAAGATGAGTAATCCTCAACAATTAGCAGCAGGAATGGCTGCAATGACAATTGCAACTCACGGAACAGTTAAGGCTTATCCTTCCTTCAACGCAGAAGAAGATGCAAAAATTCTGAGGAAAGCAATGAAAGGAATTGGTAGGTTTTTATGTAATTACTCCGATGGGCTAATGTTTCAGACAAATCCTATTGTGATTCTACTGTATAAGGTTTCACTTTTTATGTTTCAATGGTTTACTCTGACCAAGGGTTTGGACAAGGAGCTGCAGCTACTATTAGTCTTGGAATAACTTGGTGTCTTTCCAGTTTTGCATATCCCACTCAGTATTTCCTCTTTAGTCGATGGTAATAATATTTTATTCCGCCATTTCCTTTCAATACTGATACCATCTTGTTATATTTTTGATGTGCAATGGACATGATTTTTCTTCAAGTTTAAATTTTGCTCATAAATGATTATTCACTCTATTAAAGGAACTGATGAAAAGTCCATAATCAATGTCATTGGTCATCGCAACAATAAGCAGAGGCAAGACATCATAATTGCTTACAAGCAAGCTTATGGAAAAGTAACTTTTTGCTAATCATTAATAATTATTTATCAATTTATTATTATTTATTAAACTCTAATCTGTATAAAAATGAAACCTGAATTTCTTCATCTTCATCAAATCAATTAAAATGAAATTAATATTGTCAGATGTTTCTGTGATTTGATATTGAATGCTGTGAATAAAAAACACTCGTAGGGTTGTAGTAATGTTTTACTTGGCAGTCAGCCGCCACCTTTACCAATATCTCTCGAATAGACATCTGATAATCAATAATCATATGATAAGAGAAATACCCATATTCAAGTATTTGCTCATACAGACTGGTATATTTACTTTCACCTATTATCTATATTTGTTTATATTCCTCTCAGTTGAGTTGAAAAAGCACTTATTGAGTCAACGGTACATAATTCTTCAATTCTTATTGCTACTTCCTTTTGACCTGTGTTGTTATTACAATAGAATAATTATAGGAAGTCTGACGAGACTGTAAACGTTAGCCTTATTGTTTACTTAATAATGAGTCATGTACTGATTGATTTTAACAAGGTAAACTTTATCCCACAATTTTATGAAGCTTCGCGACACATAGTGGTATTTCTAAATTAATTCCCGTTGGATATTGATATCAAATTTGAATTATGCAAGCAAATCTATAAGTACTACAAGTATTTTTGCTTTCAAATTTTTTTCATGATTTTACAGCAGAAAACCATGTTGAAGGACTTTGAATTTTGTTGACAATAAATTATTTATCATAATGTTATGAAACTTTCTATAAACAGGATCTGATCAAAGATTTGAAGTCTGAACTGAGTGGAAACTTTGAAAGTTTGGTGAAGGCAATGTTCATGAAACCTAGACATTATGATGTCTATTGTTTGGAAAGATCAATGAGCGGAATTGGAACTGATGAATCTGTAAGTAATAATACGAGTAGCATAGGATAATGTCTATTTTTACAACAGATGTCATTTGAACCCTATGTCTTTTTCAAGCCATGAATAGGCTTACCATTCATTCACTAAGAGTTACATAATTGCCCATTGACAATACCAGGAAATACAACTCATTAAGTTCTGGCGGTGTGACGCATCATGCTGATCGTTGGGAATATGCTCGGACTGCACCTCTAATCACCTTGCGTGGGTTCGCAGGTTCCAATCCCATTCAGGGATATTCATGTGTGGAAGGATTGCTGGACTCCTTGCCGCTGTAGGGTGGTTCACATAACCGTTGGTCGTTTACGGCTTCCTCCACATCTGAAAAACAAGTAATTGGCTAGCTATTAGCTAATATCATACTCGACGTGGACAGGTAACCTTACGAGAGCTCGTAGTTCACCATATGAATAAGTCGTTTTATCAGTTTTCCTCTCCCTTGGGATGAATATTCAAACTCTACCTTAAGTCAACAGAATAGGGTACAACCTGATGGTTCAACAAAACTGGTTCTGGAAAATAAGGCACATTTCATCTTGTGATTATGAACTGTACTTCTGAGGCTTATTTTATTTTGAGAATTTCAGAACACTGAAAACTTCTCCAGTTCTGCTGATAATAGGAATCCTATATATTGTATTAAATATTCATTGATGTATACTCAGGCACTGATAGAAATCTTCACTTCAAGAAGTAATGCTGAGATAAAGGAGATCAAGGAAATTTTCAAAAAAGAGAGAAAGAAGGATTTGGAGAAAGCATTGAAGAGCGAGACAAGTGGACATTTTTCAAGATTGCTTGTGTCTTTATGCAATGTGAGTAAACCTGAGTAATTTGGACATAGGTTGATATGTGATTTACTCGGAGCTCAGAAGCAATAAAAACTGATATCTGAGCGAAATTACAGATGGCCTCTGAAGTGCCAAGAGCTATCGAGACATAAAGAATAGTATCAATCATTGTTCACAATGCAAATCGACACGATGTTCTTAATCAGTTTGGGTCAATATGTTCAGAAAAATAGCCATATAAAACTGGAATTATTAGAGAAAAAAATTGATATAAAATTTTCCATCTATATCTATAAGTCTATCATCAAAATTAACTTATATTTACTGACCTTGTCATTTTTGAAGAAGTATGTTGTCTAGCATAGATTTATGAAATTGAATTTTTTTTTATTCGTTCAGGCATCAAGAAACGAAACGACTTCTGTTGACCAAGGAAAGGCCCGTGCTGATGCCCAGGCTCTCTATCAAGCTGGTGAAAAGAAATGGGGAACTGATGAGGCTACATTCAACATGATAATGTGTTCCAGAAGTATTCCACAACTTCGTGCGACATTCATAGAGTATCACAAAGTAGGAAATATTTTTGGTATATTGCTTGTGAAAACCTTGTTGATTCAGAACCAAGTATTCTTATATCAAGTCCTATAAACAGAGGAGGTGCCATTGGGACTTGTTGTTTTTTAGATTATATTAATGTACTTTTAATACCGTTGTAGCACTGTAGCTGAAATTTGGAGTTCATGCAATGAACAATTTCTAGATTTGCAGTTGCAATTGCAATTTCATGTCAAGACTTTTAACAAGTCTGTGCTTTTTTGTTTTGTGAAGATTGGCTCTTCGTAAAAATAGTTTAACATGTTCTTGATCAACTTGTTTTCATTCAGATTGCAAATAGAGATATTTCAAAATCTATTGAGGGAGAATTTTCAGGAGATATTGAGGAAGGGCTGAAAGCTGTTGTAGAAACTGCTCGTAGCGCACCTGCGTACTTCGCCAAGAGACTTTATAAATCTATGTCTGGTGCAGGAACTGATGATCACACACTGATTCGAATTGTTGTCTCTCGTTCAGAGGTAATTTTCGATTATATTTTGTACAGTTATTTAAAAATATTTCTGCATTTTCTGAACGAGGTAATGTGGAAAAGTTTTCATATTTTCAAATAGATTTGAGTGAGCAGCTATGTTTCCTGTTGATATCTCCATGACGAGTTTTTAAAACAATGTTTATACAACTGCAGGTCTTGGGATAACGTTTATGATGTTTACATTTGGGTGTGAAGTGGGAAATGAATTGATTCTATCATATATAATGTAGCATTGCGACAAGGAAAGGTATTCTGACCATTTAGTTCATATTTGCTCTCTTGTTTTTAGATTGACATGGTAGAAATCAAACAAGAGTTTCAGCGTACATATAGCAAAACATTGGGCAGTTTCATTCAGGGTGATACCAGTGGAGACTACAAGAATCTTCTGACGACTCTCGTTGGACCATAGGTCTATAAAATCCAACAATAAATAATGGCAATTTGTATTCGGACTGTACAATGAATATTTTTTTAGCTCTACTTTTCCTTGCAGTCAATGTGAAATTTTTAAGCAGCTTATATTCACTCAAATTCAGTTAATAGAATTTACATTTTGACATGGTTAGTATGCAAGATGTTCAGAGTGGAATTTTCCTCATGTTTTAGAGATAACGCAATTATAATCTGCAGTAAGTAAACATTTTATATACTTCATATGAAAATCGTTTTATGATTGTTATCAAAGTGATTTTTTAACAAATGCAAATGACGATATTTTTCATCAAAATTATAATTTCAGGGAAATGTGTATCTAATCAATGAAAATGTGCTCGTTTTGCTGATCAGGCATTTTGTGTCATGGCTTTTTTATGTTTCCACTCTATATTTGGTTAAGTTGCTGAGACACAAGCTCATTTAGAAATGATATTACAATTATCAATGCAGTTTTTTATCCCATACCTGCACTAAAATTTCGTTGTGTATGTTTCTAAACACTGATACAGAAACATTTAATTTTGGTTATTTTATTCAGGACATCTTCATAGTCCATATCTAGGTGATTCACTTTTTTATTCAGCTTGTTTTTGTGCTGCACTAATCGAATGCTTAAATAGTTTTTAAAATTTATATTCACAAATGGTGGTAACATTTCCAGGCTTAAAGGTCACACTACAATTATTTTTGGGTTTATATTTTGAGATTTAAAAACAGGATTCATTATTACCTACCACAAAGTAATATAGTGATATTTTTGGTGTTGACCTCATATAGTTTGTTTGTTAACTAATAGTACTGATCACATCATTTCAAACCATATTTTGAGAAACGTACTCAAAAAACTATATATTTTAATCAGTAGTTATCACCGCCATTGCAAAATATATCTCATCAAAGTCAATGTGCCTTATATAAGTATTGAACTTTTCCAGTGTTTTGGGACCTTAAAAGTTTACTTCTTTTAAATGGTATACGGCTGACTTGTCGCAAGACAATTGCTTTTTTGTAAACTTGACTTGCTTATATCAGACACAGTTTTTTCAGTTCAGCTCAACAATATGAGGTGCTTCCAATTTGTATCACTGAATCAAGCCTAATGTCATATATTACGTTTGAGGAAAGGCATTTCAGACCGAGACTTTATTCAATAACTGCAACCTCAAGCCCAGTGGGGTTTGAGTACTTAAGATGCTCATATGACTTTTCTAGCTATATCTGCAGTTGCATTATCAAATTAGAGTGCCATCTTTATATCGAAAGCATTGAGGTGAATTTCCTCAGTCATTGGCAATCTTTTGGGTGAATGTGTGTAAAAGAAACTTTTTGCTAGGATCATTTGGCCATATTTTCGAATTTGCGTAGAAATTTTGAGCTTGAAGCTGTAATTTCTGACTTTTGAGAATTTGAATCCCGAACTAACGAAAAAGGTAAACGATCGCTAAGGTTTTCATTGTCATAAATTTTTCTATATTGTTTCGACCGGTGACCGTACATTTGAACCCATGTACATTTGAACCCATGCCTATATCCACGGGTTCAATCTATATGCGGGTGCTAAAACCCATGGGTTAGGGTTAGTATGGGTTTAACTATCCGTGAAACAAAAAAAATTCCATAGGTGCAATAGCATACAGGTGCAGTTGTCATGGGTTCAAATGTACGTGGGTTCAAATGTAATGGAACCGTTTCGACCGGCTGTTGAAATATGAAATTCATATCAGTTATTCAAAAAATTGTCCTTGGTTTCCTGGTTCAGTGCACCCAAATTGTAAGCGAACGTGTGTTTAACGAAATGGAAAGCATGTGGGACTGCACACTGACTGTTGGGAGTAGTGGTGGCACAAACTAAATGTATATTATCTTCTGCGCCTTGAATATCCGTCTCTGCCTCCGGTTACTTATACCAAATAGTTCTATGTTTTACAATGTATGGGTGGTGTAATTCAGGGTCCCTGCATCTGTCCTTTTAGTAATTTTTTTTGACAATCTGCATATCCCACTGCTTTGATTTGCTGACAAAATCATTTAAATATGACACCTGTCTTATCCGTTGGTAAGAATCTTTTTTGTTTTACTTTCAAGAGCATTTTATTCTGGAAATGGGAGTGGCCAAATACAAGTGTCTACATCTGGCAATCTGGAATTAACCGACTGACACAACGATTCCTAAGTTTTCCCGTGAATATGGTCTTAAAATATTTTTTCAATTACAATTACACCAAAGTCTTTCAGTGAATGTCCAGATTGGTTAAGGTGAGCGACGACCAGGGATCTGTTTTTTTTTTAATTTTATACTTCTAATATACGTACCGGTATATGTTCTGAGAACCGATATTTTAGATGCCAATGGACCGCATGCCACATTTGTAAGCGTTTATCAACTAGCCAGTGGTTCTCAACCGCTGGTCCGCCAAATATTTTTCCAATATTAATTTGTTATAAGCAAATTGCAAAATACAATGTATTGACGTCATGTCCGTTAGTTTTATGATTATTTTTTTTTTAACTCTTATTGATTCGTAGACCGGTATTCGTCTAACAACCATACTTGGTGAGAGGTCCTCTGCCCATTTCAAAACCAGTGGCGTAACAACGCAATGTGGCGCCCCTGGATCTTTGCGCAAAATGCCGCCCCCTCAACACCGTCGTAAAAGCTGAATAAAATTTAACACAACAGAAGAATTAAAGCAGTGAATAGTAAATTTTATCGAAAGTTCCAAATTTAATGTCTAGTTTTCATTGAAGCAAATTCAGAAATTATATCGTCGAAAGATAATGTCTCGACTAAATCACTTTCAATGGGCAGTATTGCTGGCACAGGCAGCCTGCTTTCTCCCATAGTCTATCTCAAGTAAAACTTTATTAACTTCGGTTTGGACTTCGTTATTCGCAGCTTGTGAAAAAACGGCAACAGTGAGGTAAGCTTGAGACTCATGAATAAATAAGGTGTTGATTCACATAAACGATGTTTGCAAACCACTGCATTACGTCCAGCGCTGTAGCGTCATTTTTAAATGTAAAATCACTTGATTGTACTAGTGCAGTGGTTCTCATCCGGGGGCTCCCTACAGGGGCCACGAAGCAGTTCGAGGGGGGCCCCGACACAAGACTAATAATTTATTATATAGCGACTTCGTTTGCATACTTTCCACGGCAGTTTCATTACCTGGATAGGATTATTTGCGATCACAGGGTCAGGGTGTATTCACTTTCTTGTGCATGAATTGTTTGATCATAGGTTTCATAGAATTTGAAATCTACCAGAGAAAATATTTCGCCGGTAGGCCGTCTGGTCTAACCTACAGAATGGCAGTTCCTCTCGATTGCGAGATAACCTTCGCTAGCATATTATAGACGCAATTACGAAAATTGATCTACAGTACCGTTTTGGATGAACACATGAAAAGCTGCGTTCCTGGGCCTTCAAGCACAGAAAGATGTACTAACAACAACAACAACAGTTCCGTTGACTTTACCAAAGTAAATTGAGATGTCAGAGTATGTGATTGATGCTGGCGTTGCTCGTGTGTAATGAGCAATAAATCATTATGTCCATCTGAACTCCAAAATACCGCGACAAAAATCACCCCCAGTGAAAGACGTTGGCATCGGTTTCTTTGCTGCCAAGCGAGTTAGATTTGACAGGAACGCACATTGATTAAGTTCGGGTTTCTGTCAGAGCAAAAGCCAATTTTTCTTACCACAAAAACAAAATTTTTAAACCGTCTTGATGTTGACATTCGTCTAGCTATGAAAAGGACTGCGCCTAATACGATAAACTTCGTCAGACAGTCCTAAGCGCAGGATTCCTTCTGATTGTATACTGGAGAGCGTTTACTATCTTGTCTGTGGTTTGCTTTTGCATTTCATAATAGGTCATAAACACATAATACAATCCAACACGTTTCGTTTTTTGGAATGGCGAACACGGAGACCGCGAGTGCAAATAGGCGCTGGAAGAGGGCCACGAGCCATAAAAGACCAGGTTTGGACGTATATCTTGTGTAATTTTTTGGATTAATTGGTAAATTAGGTCGTTCAATGTGACTGCCTTGGTTCATTTAAAACGCCTTTCCGCTCCGTTTAAAACGTTTTGTCACATTTTGTCGCCCTCCAGCAACGTGCCGCCCCTGGATTTATCCACAAGATCCAATGGGTATTTACGCCACTGTTCAAATCCTGAACGGTTGGATGTTCGTTAAGTCTATGGCCTCATAACGGCGGCTAACGTCCTAACGGAGGAGTTTGATAGCACAGAGCTAGGGTTTTGTTTTTAGCAATTCTAAAAAACACCCTGTTTTATAACAAGGGCTTGTTCTTATTGAAATACCCTTGCATCGCCGTGAAACTACGCCAGAACGTTGCGTTCTGGCAGCCGAATAAGCTGCCGGAATTATATTTTCAAAAATGTAAGTGAAAATCCTTGCTTCGACTTTCACTTCTATTGCGTACACCTACCGACAAGTTTGTATCTATACCAAAGTCATACGATTTTAACAGGAATATTTATCCGAGATACCAGAGAGACGTTTTGTGTAAGAAAAATCAGGAAACCTTTTTCAATTAATGGTAGCCTTTGGCAAAACAAGTGCGGTACGATAAGGAAGAATATACTTACATCGGCGGCAACCTGATTTAAACGATGAGACAGGCTATGCTTTTTGTAAGACACGTTTGGTGCAATGATGTCAAAACTAATCTGTTATGACCCCATAATAAGGATTTTGAGTTTCTGTATTGACATTTTTCTCATAAAATAAAGGCATTATTACGGTTAAAACTGTTCGGTTGATTCATGCCTAATTAATTTTGAAGGTCCGCCGGTCCGCGAAATTTGTTTTGAAATTTTACCGGTCCGCGAACTGAAAAAGGTTGAGAACCACTGAACTAGACGACGTTTTCCGTGTTGCACGTTATATTTTGATCAATTTTAAGTTGAATAGATTCGTGTTTGTTCGTCGCTATTTTACTTTCTTTAAAATGTTAGCAGGTTCTGCATGACAGTCTTCCGCATTTAAAAAAAAAACTAGATTGTTGCTGACAGGTGCTTCGGGCTTTAGCTTGGCTCTGACTCCCTGCCTCTGAGTGTAGGGCATTTTCGGTAAGCTAATTTAGGTGGATGTGAGAAAATTTCTTTTAATTAATATCTCGTTGTTGTTAAAAATATATTGGTAATCAAAAAAGATTTTATGAAAATTTTGTTGGTCAGTGTAGATTCCCTGGCGTTTCCCTTGTCCAGAAAAATGTACCCAACGTTTTTTTTGTAATTAGGGAAAATTAACTTGGAACACGATTGTATGTATGTATATGCTTAGAATCGCTACTAAAACCTATTAGATTGAGTGCACATGAATAGCAACCTTGTTTCAGTAGAGACGTAAACTGAATTTTATTCTGAGTGATCAACCTAAGGATATTCCTAGTTTTTTTTTACGAAAACACGAGTCAAAACTTCCTTAGCACTTGGTCTCGAAATTGCCTGAGAATATTATCTGAACCGAAAATTTATCGTATCGTGGTCAATCGAAGAAATCTTTCCTAAGTTATGATGATATATTTTGATTGAAAGTAATACATAAAAATTTTAAAAAAAATTGTCGAATTTTTTAAGTAAGCGAATCTCTCTAGTTTTACTGATAAAAACTACAATAAAATGAATAGGCCTACTGCCAACAACAACATATATATATAATAACAAAACAATCCATACGTACGTTTCGTGTCTAATAAAGATGAGGTAACCGGCGGTAAAAGCGTTTGACATGAGTATTACAAAGTATATATATATATATATATATATGTGCATTGTTTAATTCAAATTTAACGCATTACAAACACTCTGTATATGGAGGATAATTAAATGAAAAATATATATTGTTTCCCTACGGCATGCTGATATCAATAAAATTTCGCATCGCGGAAGCTTTAAAATTGTTACAGAATATACTAGGGTAATATTTTCAGGAATGAGGATGTAATTTATCGGCGCGGCCTACAGCCGAAGGGAACCCAGCGGAAATTACAATGTCCGATTGCACAAATGGTTGTTTGTTCTTTCTCGGTTGGATCATATCAAACTTAGATTCATAAATAGAGTTTGTGGACTTATTATAATATACCGATGAAAATGTTGAAGCAAAAGTTTAGAAAGATTAAAATATCAAAATTATGTATATTGAGCAATTATACAAAATCCGTCAACACTTCAGAAGTATTGAATGGTCCTCTAGGACTTTAAAGTTTTTTTTTATATAACGTATTTATACGTCTTCCGCTCAGAACAAGGTTTTTGCATAAGCAACCTGAATTTTATTGAAAAAAAAAATAATATTCTCCACAATTATAGGCCAGTCAATTTCGAACTTCCAGCATTTCAAGGTGCCAATGAAGATGAACTGAAGTCGTTAGAAGGCCATTATATTTGATTCTAGTCCAATTTCTTGTCCACCGATTGCTCCCACGCCTTACTCGTCATAACCAAGTCGTATTGCAATGGCTCTTTTCAAGGAAAGAAAAGTAAGCGAAAAGGAATTATCTTGATGTTGTTTTTTAATTTTGTATCAAATTGATAGTCAATTCAATGTGGCCTTTGACGCAAGAAAGCAATATTGTCGGCAATTCAATTGAAAATGAAAGGATTTGTATCAATGTACATCATACGGCCAAAGATTTTGCAAGTGTTAAATAAGCTTTTCAATGACCATTTCTCAGAATACATTAAAAATTTTTCATATTTGTTTAAACTTCTGCTTAATATGAGCAATCAGAGGAAGTTTTGGGGCAATTCAGATATCCGGCGAAGTTCTTGGAATTGCGATTTCCCACGAAGAAGTTGTTTGTAGACTTTGTGTCGCATGTAACCTTCAACGTAAATACTACCGTTGTTGTGAGACGTACCGTTGTTGTGAGACGTAGCAAGTTTGATGTGCTATCAGATTTTTGGAAAAGGAGTTTAAAATGGGTCTTTGCACTTTTAGAACTGTGCACAATCATGTGTCATTGGTATGTTTTTAGTGGTCACCTTGGGAAGGGCTTTCTCCGCAACTTACTTATTTATTTCATTTCGGATGTTTTAAAAAGTACGAGAATAGATATAAAATAAAAATAGCGCTTAAAGGAAAATATCCCAGAAAAGATGTTAATGAATGAATGTTATGAGTTTAGTAAAATATGCAGCGGTCTATTTCTATTGCTCTATAATATATGATGTGAACACCGTTAAATTAAAACTAGTTTTAGTGGCATGTAACAGAAAAGTGTAGTTGCAATATACGCAAAAGATTTTCCTCAAGGTTACACGGTTGTCATTACATGATGTCACTATGAATGTATGGCAATCATTTGTAGAAATATATTACCTGCTGATGACACTAAACATGGCTAATTTTGATTTACCTTGTATAAAATTGATCTAGTCCATCAGGCATATTTCGTTGAAATCGAATTGTTTTGGCCATGTTTCATTATTGATTAAATTTGAACTTTCTTTATTTGCAGGAAACTAACTCATACACAATATTAAATTATTTATTTCATTAGCGGTTTTACATTTTTAATCGAATCAAGGTTGCTGTCTACTATTTTTGGTTTGAAATCGCCTACCCAATTAGGTTGTAAGGCCATGATGGAGTTAAAATCATGGTGGTTGGATAGTTATAATTCCATATCGCAACTTTGGTTTATGGTAATTTTTGTATTGAAGAAAATTTGTCACTCGTTTATTTGTGTATTATTTTTATCACGAAGGAGGTCTATGCCTTCCTATTCAAGAACGAGGTTATTGTTTTTCTAGTGTTCAATAGCTGGACATTAAAAGTGCCTTCCAAATACTATTACTTTTATTTGCTTTCAACTTTGGTGACCGCAGTTTTGTTTGAATTTAAGAAAATGTTGCCACTTTGCTTTAACTTAATATCTATTACGATTCACCGTTGCGAGTGATTTACCAAGGCATAAAAATATTTCGATTACATTAACTGATTATGACATTGTTTGTCAAATAATGTCTACTATTGGCAGAATTTTTTTTTTATGAATATAAATATATTTACAGTTTCTCAGTGGTTGAAAGTATTTGTTGTATTTATTATTCAATTCTCTTATATATATATACCTTTTTACACATTGCCATAAGTAATTTATGTTTGATAGTCGAAACCAACAACAGAAATGCGGTTTCGACTTACATGTTGGATGTTATTACTAATGTATTTTCCTAGAGGTGAGTTCAATTTCATTTCGTACTATATTTTTGAACAAATCACTATCATTTCACGTTCGAGAATGTGCCTTTTTTAGTGTTTATCAATTTTTTTTTGTTCTTCTCTAAAGTGGAAAAATAACAAAGTGACTTGCATGTTCAAATATTTTCAGATATTAACAGCTCCTGTCGAAAACGTGCGGTAGAAGAAGGTCGAAAGTGCAGAAAATCATGCTCAGATGACAGCGAGTGTACGTCAAAAGGTGGACTAAAGAAATGCAGATGTGATGGTGCATGTGGTATGACCTGTTTCAATCCAGGTGATTGAATTGGGATCCTTTTAAAGATAGTTTTTTTCTGATAGATTTGTGATTTTATTCTTCCACGTAAGTGAGAGGCAGACGGAACAAATGCGGGGCAGGTAGAACTGTGGTGCGATAAATGTGTAACAATGGGACAAATGTTTGAATGGTTTTGAATAACGTAAAACTGCTTCAAATATTAAGTTATATATTTTCCATCTTTCGAACACATGTTGCGAAAATTAACTTTCCGATTTTGTTGATTGCTGTTGTACAGTGGCTTACCGTAATGAAGTAAGACCGACAAATTCAATTAATCATTGGAGAATTTTACTTTATTCACATGTATGTGCGTGTTTCATTTCTTCAATCCGAATTTTCAAACTATTCATTTTCATTTCAAGATGCTCCGTGCTTATCAGAACCAGCTGTTATTCCAAACGGTTCTAGAACTTGGAACAAACTTACTATGGGAGGGAAGGCAACTTACCGATGTAACACTGGGTTTATATTAAAAGGCGATTTTAAAACCGTTTGCTGTGCTGACAAGGAATGGCACGGTCCACCACCTACATGTGAAGGTAAGAATCGCACGAAACAACACATTATGAGTTATGATACACCACTTGTATCATTTCCGCGATATAAACTAATTATCAACCTGAAAAATTGGAAATAAACGATATCATTTTGCTAATATTTGCTTCCTATGCTTCCATTTCAGCTGGATGTTTGTTACCATCAAACATGGGAAATTCGTTTCCTAATGTTTTAGAAGAAACTGCAGAAGTTGGTGAAGTAATTCCTTTCATGTGTAATACAGGTATGTTTTCAGATATTGAAACTGTATGTACTCATGTAATGTGAAGTTTTGCCTTGTGAAATAACTCAAAGACCCCGAATAAACCGAAGTTAAAAGACTTTGCATGTTTATTATAAACTCTATCTCAAATCTACAAGACCGAAATGAATTACATTATTTTTGCTTTTATGATGTCACTATCCCCACAATCTTTTCAGTGCTGATTGCCAACTTAAACTTTCCATAGACTATAGCTTACTTAGAGTTCAGAAGACATTTATCGAAATGTTTTGAGCAACACATTGTTATCTTTATAAAACAAAAAGAGCAATTGCACTTTTATTTCCGCAAATTTGTGGCATTTTATTGTGTAGTAAAGTTCAGTAATGCAGCAACTTCGTCATCAAACTTTATTTTTTTAAAGGAAACGCAGAGCTCAATTTGTTCCTCATTTTTTTATATGACGGGATTGATGCATTACAGGTTATCATATGACCGGTGAAGGCGATCGAACTTGTCAAGTAAATGGTCAAATGTCCCGTGCGGAATATTCGTGTAGTATTCAAGTATGCGACACTCCACCAACAGTTAGTAATGGACACATAAGCATGGAAACTTCATTTACCTTTGGATCAACTGTAAAGCTAGTTTGTAACACCGGTATTTCTATTAAAACAATAAACATGAAAATATTCAAGCCAGCATTTGTTAGGGTTATTATTGCCACTTTTATGAATTACTCATACTAAATATTAATATACTTTTCTGTTTCGTTGCTGTATTTTTTTTAGGCAAACATATTAATCCGAGGGAATAATATACTTATGTTTTCTTTTAATTAACGAGGGTATGAACCTGAATCAGAAGTCACCACCCTTCAATGTCGTGCCGGAGCTTTTAATTCTGCTAGTGGAAAATGGTCACCTGCCGATCATTTTCCAGAATGCACAGGTAAACAATTTTTCGCTAAAACTTTAAACTATACAGCAAAATACTTTATATACTCGTAGGATTATATATAACCTGACACCTCAAGAATTGCATTCAGCAGTTTGGCTTTTATTGACAGGCAGTAATGATTAGGGTAAGCTCACGAAAAATTATCAGTGGCACCGCATTGACATGATTTATACAGGTATTTCTCACAGCACGATTTCCTAAAGACTTCAAATCCGACCCCACTGTAGTCAGATAGAAGCTAAGAAATAAAAATTCCGGCACATCAACACTCCACAAATATAAATATCCAGAACTAAAAAAAATGTGATAACTATGCTTTTTATATCCAATAAAATCATATGTATATTATTTCAGCGGTAAAGTGCGGTTATCCCCGTGATCCAAAAAACGGCCGAGTATTGCATAGAGACGGTAATTGGGAATATGGAAATCGAATTACGTACAATTGCAATACTGGTTATAAATTAATTGGGAATGATATAGCAAGCTGCGGAGCTGATGCAACATGGGGTGATTTGCCGTTTTGCGAGAGTAAGTTTTTTCTATGACATTTAATTTCAATTATTCTTCTATGTTGATGCAGAATTTGTTTTCTAGTACGATAGCAAAATACCATCGTGTCGGTGCCCCCCCCCCCCCCTTTTGAAATGTAAAAAAAATAAAATCATTTTTCTGTATCCTAGATAGCAATTTTCCGTAGCTTGAAATGCTTTTTAGACCCCCAGGACTACTAAAAACACGCGTATTCCAGCGTTCGATTGCACCCGCTAGCAGTTTCGATCTAACTTGGCAAAAAATTTTTTTTAACCGCCCCCCTTTGAAAATTTCTGGCTAGGCCCCTGATTGAATGCATATTATTACGACCTTGGGATTTGTCAGCTTAAGACAAATCCCACGCACTTGAAATTTTTAAGATATCACTGTTAAAAAAAAAACCAAGCGTTGCGTTAAAATACCAAAGAGCACAACCTGCAAATGAGCAAAGTATTCAATCCATGACCGTTACGAGCATATTTAAAATGTCTTGATTTATTAATTTAATTGTGTTCGATGTAACCTGCTTTTGTATCGACTAAAAATATAAAAGCTTTGCTCCTCTATAATGACGGGGACAATGTATCCTAAAATGCGTGGAAATGTATCCTACGTCTTGTATAGATTCGTATTTCCCGATAAACTACAAAATTTGTCAAAGGCGACCTAACAAAGCGCTCAAACTTTTGCGATTTACAATGTCTAAAAAGGATTTTTAATCTGTCAGGGGACTGAGGGGTTTAATTCCATCCGTTTTATTTTTAGTATTTTACAATGCTGCTTTTCAATCAAAAGATTTGGGTTGTAGATTCACTCCTTTATTATCCTTGCATCTCGTCGCCGATGATTGTAATATATACAATAATGATGATTTTTCTTGTACGGCATTTGTTGCATCATGATCATGTTTTATTATAGTCGACCCTAACTGTGGTTTTGAAGAGTTTTCTGAACCTACATGTGGCTATTCAAATCCATATCCACGATGGGAACGAATATATGCCGAATCACAATACGATGGAATCCCTGGTAAGTCGGCTAATTTGTCATTTCATAATCTAATTTAGCATTATATACTCGAGTTTACTCAATAGTGTTGATAACGTTCCATACGTATTCAACCAAAATATGCATATAGCGCCATATCTTATACTTATACATGACATTGGATTTTGTGTGCGTATCACTCAAATGACTATATATATATATATATATATAAAACCTCTATACATATATGCATATGACATTGACTTTTCTATGTTAATCTTTTAAACGGCAGTATGTGATATGACTTGATATGACTCCTGTTGGAATATACCATAATATATGCACAGGGCATCAACTGTGTCTGTATATGCCTATTGCATTTACGGTACTCGTTATGTATATGAGTTGGCAGTATCTATATATGCATATTTTGGCTGTAATTGTATATCATGTTACTAAATCCACTTAATTTACATTCAAGGTGATCTTGTGCATGTAATTAAATGACAAAAAAGTTGGTCTATTTGCACCATCACACACTAACCAAACGTTTTGGTCTCAAAAACTTGTCTATAATAGTATGACTTCTTTGATTATTCGTTTCAGGTTTCATTATTCGTGCTACCACAAGTGGAACAGAATTGATATCAGCTGAAATACCTGATGACTGGAGTTCTGGGAAGATGTGCTTACAGTTTCGTTACAAGTTGTTAGGCAAATCAAGCCTACTGACTATATCATCAACGTAAAATATAATTTCCTATTCCTTTAGGCTTCTAGAGCAGTGGTTTCCAAACTTCTTAGAGTTGGGACCCACTATTTATTACCACAGTTTATGGCGACCCATTTAACTTTTTATGACATAACACAGAACACATCGATGGCTAATCATGGCAAAACTACCGCGTTTCCTCGAAAATAAGACCTGGCCTGAAAATAAGACCTAATTTGAATTTTAAAAATGATTTTAAATAAAACCTACTCTTAAAATAAATTTTAAATGTGTGGGAGAGGAAAGGTTCAATGACTCGAGGTAAGGTGCAGATCACACCACTATTCAAGATTGTGTGATGTCACAATCACAATTATGATATTTTTCACTTGATTTTTGTATAGGAAATACAAATTAAAACAATGGATGTCGGTTTTTATATAATGTTTATTAAAAAATCTCGTGATTTTTTACAATGTTATTTTATTTTTGATAATTGAACATAAAAGACCTCTTTCAAAAAAAAAACATATTGTTATTTTTCAAAAGAAAATAAATCTAAATCCTGTCTATATTTCGGGGAAACATGGTAAGAAGTGCTGTACAAAACTACTATGTGTAAAAAAGCCACATGGTCATTCTTTGTATAGCAAGTTTTTGTTCCCTTTAGAAGATTGTAAAAAGGAAAGAGATTTCACAGATTAGAATTTAAATTCATTTGTATTTTTGAAGATTTACGTATTCGAGTCGCCACCGATCCTAATAACCAGTATAAATATTCAAAGCTTTCTACATCTTTTCAGAACCCACTAAGATTCCTTGTGCGACCCACCGACCCATAGTTTGGGAACCGCTGTTCTAGAGTATTCCTAATTATTCTAAATCACGAAACTATTAATATTTTCTTGTTTAAATGTAGTCTTCTCATCCTCGCCCCTGATTATAAATCTACCCAAGGCATTCAACGGATGGGGTATATTGTACCCACCCAAATTTTTATACACATTTCCTCTTTAATTATCTTGCAATGTACATTGGTTTACTTTTAGGTCAACCCCGTTCACAGCATTTTGGAGAAATCACGTCAATGAGGCAAGAAACACTTGGTTGGATTCTCTGGTGAACATTGATTCATCAACATCTATCCAATACAAATTTGAAGCAAATCAACCAACAGTTGAATTGGATGATGTTCAAGTAAAAAAAAGTGATTGTTGTGAGTAAATGTCCTTACAAATGTCCATACTAAAATGAAAATCGATGAACATACACTGCAACATCTATATTTATATCACTCAGTGTTTATTGGCATTTCTACTGAGCTGAAACCATGTTCCTGTCATTTAATTTTTGTTAGGAGATACCTCAGGATGTAAAAAAAAAAAGTTCAGAGACAACTGATTCATTCTCAGACAACATATGGAATCGATTGCAGGAACGTGTAAATGTAAAAATTATATATAAACCACTGGCAAAAGTGGCAAAAATGAAATTTTAATAAGTAAGTGATAGAAGACGGTAATATTTCGAAATTATTCTTTTTTGTTTTCAGTTGAACATTGTAAGAGTTACATTTGTCACAATGGCGGATCCTGCGTGAATAGAGCAAACGATTACACATGCTTCTGCACAGTTGATTTTGAAGGAAAAACATGTGATAAAGGTTATTATCAGTACTATCAATGCAATATACTCAAAAATTTTTTCATTAGATTCAGATTCATATTCAATTTTCTGTGTTTCACAACTCAGATTTGAAATGCGTCAAACCAGCCGAATGGATTCAGAATGGTCAATTATTACGCAGCGATACTAGGCCTCATAATCTGTATATTCCGGGAACAACTGTTACATATGGCTGCAACGCTAAGTTTAAAATATTTGGCAAAAATGATATTCAAACAGAAGAAACAATTACTTGCACAAAAGATAGTTGGGGAGGTGACAGTTTCTGGCGAAGAAATCCCAGGGACATTAGATGCATATGTAAGTATAATGATGAAAAACCTAAAACACTCAAAAATTAATTATTAAATACAACATATAAAAAATGCATGTTTTTACCAAATGTTTACGAATGTCACTCTGTGACTATAATGTATAAAATGTAAGTTACTTTTCAAAAATTACCGTGTATCCCCGAAGATAAGACCGGGTCTTAATTATATTCTATTTTAAAAAAGACCACTAGGGCTTATTTTAGGGGGATGTATTTTATTTTCAATTAAAAAAAAACAAAATTTTAAAGTAGAGAATTGGAAGGTTTTCAAATATACAGAATATAAAATCCGATACCCATTTATTTATAAATAACAATTTTTTATTTAAAATGAAACTGCTAAACATAGAGTATTTAAAAATGACCATATCATCACCAACTGGAATGTCTTGCAATTCACTAAATTTGTAAATTATACTAAAGTTTCCATTTAACTGAATTTTCTTGCTATGGACTAGATCAGGGTGGTCCGAGATTGTCGGCTTCGCAGGCCACGCTAATATTTTTGTATTGTACCAAGAATAGACCAACAGTGAAATACCAACTTTTATTGTCCAAACACATTGATTATTATTTGTCATTTATCATGCTGAACCAAGCAAAAACCACCAAAAAACTAATTGAAACGTGAAAAATCTCACTATATCTACATTTAGTGTAAGCTTTCCAACTCTTCATAACGTAGAAAGTGCCATAAGGAGAAAGTACCATTTTAGATTGTCACCGAAACAACTTGCAGACATTTAAGCAAGCATTGTGGTATTTTCCTTCTCACATCTATAGTCAAAAATTTGTTGGAGCTGGTCAGCTTTCTTTTCAAACTCATGTTTACAAAATAATTCACAAATATCTGCAGATTGATTTATTACCGAATCTTACCAAATTTGAGATACAGGGCTTATTACTACATTTTCTTACATATAGGCAGCATTTTTTGGAATACTGTTTAAGCTTATTGCAAAAAAACACCCGACAGGAATTACGGTATATTTGACGGCCATTACATTAATATTTAGTTATCAAGCATAGCCAACCTAGGCTAATAGAGCCCCATTCGATTTTAGTTTACTATGAAGTCTATATTGTTATCATATAATCTCGTCCAAGAAATAGCAAGCCATTTACTTGATTGATTTTTCTGGTCAATTTTATGACGAAACAAGCCAAATGCATTTTTTGTTTACCGACGCTCAAAAGCGACGCGGGCCACAGATAATGAAGCGGCGGTCCACATGTAGCCCACGGGCCCGGGTTTGGACCACCCTGGACTAGATCAAAAAAATCCCGCTATTGACTAGGATTTATTTCAAATGGAGGGCTTATATTAGAATCATTTGAATAAATTAGGGCTAGGTCTTATTTTCAGGCTAGGTCTTATTTTTGGGGAAACACGGTAGATTACAACTTTCAAATACGTACTGCGTTTGGACAGTGACCATATAGTATCTTGGTGGAAATAATGGTATGTAAGACCTGTTACGCTGCGACTCATGCCACCGGACCTTGCTTGTATCAATTTGTTTTCTTATTTCACCATTTCAAAACCTTCATGTCGGTTTGACGTAGTTGGTTACTAAATTGATGTTACGAGACGATATGAGAATGACAATGATACATTATGCCGTAAATTCCCCCAAATATTAGGTTAAAAAAATATAGTTGATTCACATTAATTTACACATTGATATAAACTTTAACCCGTTTACTAGATAGATGTGAATTGCAAGTTGATAAATGTGCAATATTATATTAGCATGTTTGATTGGTATCAGTGGATCATTTACTACCTTCACAATATGAATTTGGATCAATGTAACAATGTGTAAAACTGGTATCACAACATTTACAGATAAAACTTGCACAAAACCACCAACTGGATCTCGTCGAAAGCTTATTGACGAAACCAAGCACTCTTGGAAAGTTGGAGAGGTTGCAACAATCAAATGCAAAGATGGATATGAATTTGTCTCTCCTTATCCAACAACTACATTGACTTGTGGAAATGACGAACAATGGATTGGAAGTGTTACAGAATGCACAGGTCATATCGATAATTCATTTGTTCTTATCAAGTATCCACAAAGCAAATTATTTTTATTTTATCAAATTGTTTTTCATCCCAAGTGCTTTTTCAATTTAAAGCTCATTTGCACAAATTATTATTCCAACAAAACATTTTAACGTGTTATTATAGTAAAAATAACAACATTTTTTGCAAAGATTCCGGCCTCAGTATCAGTATCAATGAACGTATGAACAAAGTATTATTATGCAAATTTATCACCAAGTTTTTCATAACAGACGCCACATGCTCAGAACCTTCTGAATATGTTACAAATGGATACCTATCACATACGAGTTTGTCGTGGTTTACACCATTATCTGAAGCAACATACACTTGCAATGAAAACTATAAATTATCAGGATATGATGAAATTAAAACTGAAATAATAATATCTTGCACTTGGAATTGGAGGTCTTTGAAAAGTACTTGGGTTCCAAGTGTGGGCAGCATACACTGCACTGGTTTGTATTAGCTTTGTACTTCAACAAATCATTTTATTATACAATTGTTTTTGGTATTTTCTCTCTTTTAGTGTCGTGGCATGTTCATGCCGTAGATGAAATCATGGTCTTCATAAGTGATCTCCATCTGATTCATTTTTGAAGACATCTCATGATTTGAACTTGGTGGTATTTTTAAATATTAGATATATCAAGTACTCTATTCTTTAAACAGATATAGTTTGTCCAATTCCAAATGTCGGTCCTTATCAGATATTAACCTCACATGAATTTAAATGGAAAGTTGGAAGTGTTGCTCATTATGAATGCGATACGGGTTATGAATTTACTCCTGTCTATCCAATAACATCAATTACATGCCGAAGAGATGAAACATGGAACGGAAAAGCATCGAATTGCCAAGAAAGTGAGTTAGAAAATACAATCAATTTAGAAAGCGGCGGTTAGCTGATTGTGTACTTTAATTTACCCGGTTTATTTGTATTTATGTATTCATCATCCCTAGCAAATATTATATGCCTATGAACTCTTTTTTTATTAACTTTTAGGGACATTAAGCAAAGTAACTAGGAATGCAGATTGTGTGTGTAGATTTTTTTTTATCCCCCGAAATACAATCTATAACAATGTTACCCAACCTTTTAGTACTCATAGCTCCTTACCTGAGGCTTTTAGATCTCATGCCCCTCTCTGTTTATTATTCCAGTTGTATTTATAGTGTTATTTTGGTTGGGATCTTGTGTGCCACACAAAAAATTAAGGCAGGGGAAGAGAATGCACCGGGCAAAACGGCAAAATATTTAGCGCAGCGATATGAGCATAAAACATCATGAATTTTTACTCGCATGAGCAACTTTCTAAACATAAATTGTCGGATTTTATCCTTGATGATGAAAAACCAGAGTGTTCACAAAGGCCACACATTAAATGGCTGGGTTGTGGTTTTGCACACCCCTGAATTACCTCGTAATTGATTTACAGAATATGTTAGTATTTAATCAAATTTGAGTACCGGTAGATAGGTATGTAGAATGTGTCAATTTTTATTTCTTAAAGTCGAATCTATATCATTCAATTATCATTTTGCAATATTAAAAATAGAGAAAAGTTATTTTCGAGTCTCAAAATTTCAGACATAAAATGTGCAAATCCTAAAAACATAAAAATTACAAATGGACACCTTCAACCACAAACATCGAGCACTTTCTATCCTGGCGATTCTGCAACATTTTGGTGTAACAGAAATCACAAGATTTCAGGTCAGCAGGGCATAATTAAATCAGTGAATTCAACCTGCCTTAAAAGAGAACATCAAATAGGAAGTGAATGGAGTTTGGCTTCGATTGAATGCGAAGGTTTGTTAATTTATTTACCACTTTATTTGTTTGTGATGTTGTACATTCACAATTTTTTGAGTACCAAGTCTAGGGATATGGATGCAGAAACAAAAATCATTAATTTGCTGAGTAGAGATTGCAAGTTTCATTTAGAGTAAAACAGAATATATTGATATTGCAAGATATAATGATATATAATGATAATTCGACAAAAGGCCTTCCGGAAGGTCTTTTGGCCTTCCGGAAGGCCCTTTTAATCAAATAGTTTTGAAACCTGATTTCGTGTAGTTTGATTTTGAATTTTCTTTAGCTTATGGTATTAATTGATTGCCAGTTACTCATGAACACAATCATGGGTTACAATTTCTATAAAACATTTTAGTTTTTTATCACTGACCTATTTACTTTTAATAAAAATTTCAATTTTTTGAAAAATTTGAAAAAAATCAATTTTTCAAAATCCTCATTTCTCAGATAAAAAAACCTTTGTGATCTATTTTTTCATGTTTATAAATTTTTTGTATCATGTTGTTGCACTGAAAAACTAAATTTGCTAAAAGAAAAAAGAGCAAATACAATTTTTTTTGTAAATTATAAATTTTTCATCAAAAATTTTAAACGATCAGTTTTATAAGAGGGATTATTGTTTAACTATATACAGTTAGGTACATTTTTTTCTCTAAAAACCCAGAACACAAATACCTAATACCAAAAAAAACTTCGAAAATTAATACTAACACAAACAACATGATGGATGGGAGACCCTTTCAAAAATTTTCTTGAAAAGGGCCTTCCGGAAGGCCCTAAGACCCGATATCTGGCAACCTAAAAAACTTCTATTTTCAGTAATTAAGGAATGTACCACTATCAAATAAATAAGTAATATTATTTTAAGCCATGTTATCTGAAAAGAAAGTTACATTTTTCGTTTTTGATGGGAGGGAAGGTGTTCCCCAAATGACAGCTGGGCATTGATTTTCAGTAAATGAAAGACGATCATTCATTGAAAGTCAGCGCCTACTTGGACAATAAAACTTTTGAATTTGAAATGTTTGCTCATCATATAAAAAATATCATGCAAGATTTGGTTGATAAGTTGTCTTTATTAATGAAATATAACATTCAAAGATGAGCATTTATTAGTAGAAAACCCATGTTGCTCTAAATTGACAGTGGTCACAAGAGCGCATTAGTTACGCATCTTAGAAACCAAAGGATCCAGTACCCACATTATATTCATGACAGTGACAAATTTCAAATAAGTTTCTGCTACTTGCAGTCTAGGGATATTTCCAGAGTGCCATTCTCATTTTGTTTCTAGCTAGCTAAAATTATCCTTTTATCAAATCTATCTGCAAAAAAATTTGGAAGTTTGGATGGGCAACTCACTACACCATTAATAATTCATCCTAAGGCTCTGTCTCCACTTTGCCTATCATTCTCTGCTGTAAGGGGATTGTATCCATGTCTTAATCAGACTCTATGTCTTATTAATCAGACTCTGTCACTTTCTTCGTCTGAGAATGAAAATACATTCATCTCTGTTAGTTCACTGTCTATGCTGCATGCTAAGAAAGCACTCAGCACATTCACTAACTTCCTTTTCTTTCTCAACTTCAGAATCCTAACTCTCAGTCTTTCTTGGTTGCTACCTAAACTGCTGTTTGGTTGTTCTTCATTCATTCAAACCCAAGCTACTCTCTGCATTGTGCTCAAAGTAATTTCCTAATTCGAATCTTTCTTAAGTTCTTTCTATGTTCTCTTCATCTGAAACTCCAGGTCTTAAATCTTTATAGTCTATTTCACACACTGTAATATTATATCACAATTCACAATGTGATATCATAAAATTTCACTCTAGCTTTCTCTAAAAACTTGAAAAGTATCAACCCAGAAACCACATCCAAGCACAAATTATAATGATACTGTATGTAGTAGCAATCAATTTTTAAATTCGAAATATTCTTCTGTATAGCTTACACTTAACCTAAATATATTTAATATGTTAATCAATAACATAAAATGATAATTTGTGTTTAATTTTGGCTTCCCTTAGAAAAAACAGGCTTTCCTCTCAATATTAAGGGTCCACATCGACACATATAACTGATTATTTTTGTAGGGCCTTCCGGAAGGCCCTGACATTTTCTATAGTAATGTCCAACTTTTATATATCATTAAACAGTCTGTATTGCATTTTGTTTCTCAATAAATCAAGTAACCAACATGAAATCATGCCTCGTGCAAAAAAAATGTACCTGCAATTACGAAGAAAATATTTCTTGACACCGGAACAACAAAAATTAATCTAATATTCTGATCAATAAACTGGGTAACTTGCTTATAATTGGAGATATGAAGACAAAATAATGATTATGTCATCTGGTAATCGCCAGGCTTGCAACTACAACTTTTATTGCTTTCATTTAAAGCCCTGTACTCTTCAATTTGGTCAAAATAGTTGAATAGTGTAAAAAAAACATAGGGCCTTCCGGAAGGCCCTTTTGTCTACATGTTTATACAAAATTTACGACATTATCGAGTGGTAGCAGTTCATTCCAATCACATTGCAATTGTTGTGAATCTATAGAAACTTGCAAAACAGTAAAAAAAGTGCCTCGATTAATACCTGGGTTGCCCATAATTGCGATTTTTGAAAAATATATAAAAATTTTCATAGGTGACAAAAAGTTCTTATTTTCAATAGTTGAGCAGACTAATAAAAACTATATATGTGCAGCAGCTGTTAAGTGTCTGTAAATAACCTTTAATGAACTATTCAAAGCTGAAAAACTAAGAAGTTTTTCTGTTATATAGTACTGTGAAAATTTATTGTAAAAATGACCTAAAATAGGGCCTTCCGGAAGGCCCTTTTTTAGTCGAATTATCAATAAGAAATGGAAAGTATCTAATCACTTTTATTGCAATTAGGCTTTGCATGGGAATTTTTCTGAGTCATATCATTTACATTTTTACAAAGTTTATATCAGAAAGTTTGTGGTTCAGTTCATAAAGTTTTGTCAGGTATGCGATAAGTATTATACAATGATACAATGATGTATTTTATTGGTCGATTAATATCATTTTCTATTTCAATATCAATATCTGAGCAAAGGATATAAAAAAAATTTCATCTTGTCAAGTTGTCATTTGCATCTAAAAATATGGTGATTTAGAAGAAAGAAGTTACAACTTTTCAGAGTTATGAAACTAAATTAACTTTATAACAATATTAGTGGATTAAGCTCTTGGAGATTTAGGAGGTATTTCTGTTTAAACAATTAACTGTAATAATTTCAGAAATATTATGCAGACTTCCCCCAGTTCGAACAAATCATGTCGATCCAAAAAACAAAAGACATTCGGTAGGATACATCTACACTCACACATGCAAACCTGGATACATTTTTCCTGCCAATGTTACCAAAGAAACCAGTGAGTGCAGATCAGATGGGACTTGGACAGATCCACCTCCTGATTGCATTGAAGGTATTGTAAAATATATATTAGCTTTAGGTAGTGAAATATTTTTTGTCTCCAGGCCTATAACCAACTTCAGATATCTAGCCAGGCCACACAAAAAAATAGTTTTTCCATTCAGGAAAGGCAATAGAAGAGAATGCGAAAAGCACTGGGCAAAACGCATAAGATTCCATGCAGCAACAAGAGCAAAAAACCTTATGTATTTTTCCCCGCATGAGCGACTATATAAACATAAATTGGCAGATCAGATTTTATGCTTAAATGGCTTGGCAAGCTGGGTGTGGCCTGCCTGCCGCCTGTTGCACACCTTGTATTAGCTCATAGTTGATTTATAGAATATGTTGCTATTTAATCAAATTGTTTATCCTATGAAGTAGACTCTATATCACTAAATTTTCATTTTGCCATATTAAAAATAGAGGAAAGTCATTTTTGAGTTTTGGAATTTCAGACATGAAATGTGCAGATCCTGACAACATAACTATAATAAACGGACACCTTCAAGCAGGAACATCAAGTACATTCTATCCTGGTGATTCTACAACAATTTTGTGTAACATGAATCACAAGATTTCAGGTCGGCAGGACATAATTGGATCAGTCGATTCCACATGCATTGAACGAGAAGAACCAGAAATAGGAAGTGAATGGAGCTTGTCTTTGGTCGAATGCGAAGGTTCGCAACTATATGGTGTTTATATTCTTCATTCATGAATATGATCTATGTGCTTGCTCTGAGTATACTTAAGTATACTTATCACTGTCCATGCTCCGATGCAATAATTTATCATTGTTCGGAACAGTTTTAATTTATAGTTTATTGCAACTCCAGACCAACTCCAAATTCCAGAATCGGAATTTAGGGCAAGAGATTAGGCACGGATCAGGCTACATAAATAATCAATATAATGAAGGGAAATGTTTGTTTCACAGAAAGCCAGTAATGAAAGAATATTTAGTATGTATAGAATTAAAATCCCTAATAAAAGAGGACTACCGAAATTAAGAGCCACTGTCAAACATGCACTTGTCATGTTTATCTATTTAATGAAAATAAAACAAAATTATGTATTCCATGAATAAGGAAAATTTTTCGAAATAAGGTCAGTATGGAAGCTTTGCTGAATGCCATACTAGTGGACTTAGCATTTGAAATATTGGGGAGTTTCAATACTTGAATAATTAAAAAAATACCTTGTTATAACTTTAGAAATATTATGTGATGCTCCTCCAGTTCAAAATAATCACGTTGAGCCGGAGCCCACACATTGGTCAGTAGGATACATCTACACTTACACATGCAAACCTGGATACATTTTTCCCTTCAACGTTACCGGAGGAACAAGCGAGTGCAGTTCAGATGGAACTTGGTCAGATCCGCCACTGGATTGCATTGAAGGTGTTGTATAAAATATTCAATTAATCTAATATTCTATTTACAGAATTTGTCAGAATATATCGCTGTGTGTTCAAATTGAACTTTCCTATATAGGTATGCACATTTTTTGTAATATCAATTACTCTCAATATTATGCTAAATTATTGTAAATAATTTGTTGCAATAACTGTTTGAATGGGTTAATATGAGCCAAGTTGTATTTTAAAAAAACCACAATGTATGAAAGAAACTTTTTGACTATTTATTGCTGAGTTTGATGATTCACTGAAGATGAATGAAGATTACATTTCAATGCAATATTTACAAATAAGATTCTTTTGCAGAAATTGTTTGCAAAAACCCACCAATGAATAAAAATCATTATAATAAGACTGGGAAGCAGTCATGGAAAGTGGGTGAATCATACTCATATAAATGCAAACATGGATATGTTTTTGCCCCAATTGCTACAACGTCAAATAAATGCAGTGAAAATGGAAGTTGGACTGTGACTTATCCTACTGATTGTGTGGAAGGTATTTTATGCTGAAATTCGACTGTTATTAACCTAAGTTCAATTCATGTTTGTGAGGATCAAACTTAACTATGGATATTAATTTGAAATCATCTGTCCGATCATATAGTCTAGGATGTACTTTTTCTAAATGATGAAAGGGAAATTAGTGAATCGGACTAACCACCCTCATAAATATTTTCAAAAAATAAAAGGTTTCGAGTGAGCTAATATCAGTACATAAAAAAGACGACTGTTTCAATGATCTTGAGGTGCTGATGAGTTTGAATTCGATTGTTGTGTAGATTGCGGAGAAAATCCCAACAACAACAATTTAGTAAATCGATCCATTTCGTGTCCAATAATAATAATAATATATGTGAAGAGTAACATGCTCGTATCGCCAATCCAGAAGAGACAAGTTGAAGTACAACTATACGAATACTAAAACAAGCCATACAACATATTAGGTGCAGTGACAAAAATGCTTGTGCATCTTCTGCAGTGACTTTTGATGTAATATGTTTTGTTGTAACTGTATTCAAGAAATTTAAGTTTCATAAAACCATCAGTGGTCGTTTTTTTATATTAAAGAAATTTTTTTTATTGCAACCAGAATTATTTTTAGATATGTCATGTGGAGAACCTCCTTTGATCAAGAAAAATTCTGAACGAATAATACCAGTAAATACAGAAAACAGACAATTTTTACCGGGTGAAATTGCAATGTACAGATGTAAGGATCATTTTTATCTCAACAACACAAAGGAAAATGTACAGAATATTTCTTGTACAAAAGTTGATTTTGGAAGTAAATGGAAACCAGAACTAAGGAGATGTAGACGTAAGCATTCAATAAATCCTAGCAATATTAATATAATTAAACAGCGGTGAACAAATGAATTCATAAATATTTAGTTATGTGTATTGATAAACGCGCTGTTTTTGGATAACTCAGTGGTTGACCCAATCATTTTTAATAAAATATATGTAATGACGCATTTTAAAAGTTTTCTCAAATATGCACAGGTAAAAAGTAAAAAAAACACAAAATGCCCCTTTTAATTCTTCTTACTTCTCATTCTTTCGTGCACATGTGGTTCCACATGAAAACATTTTTTTTTCTGTAGAAAAAGAGTCAAAAGTCTGTAACACAATCCACAACTGGTTGGGATACTTTGGACTGAATAATCAATTGGCAATTTTTTTAAAAAAAAGTCTTTATCGATAAATATATGTGATATTTATCTTTTTTGCCAACTTCAACATTTGTTGATACAGCAATCAAATGTCCAAAGATTAAGAAAACTAAAGGATTATCTTTTACTTATAATGTTCAATCTCGAAAATTTGACACAATTGCAACATTCTCATGTAAACCAAATCGTGTTTTGGAAGGCAAACCCAAATTGCAATGCTCGAAAACTGGGAAGTGGTCAGGCCCGTATCCTGTATGCAAATGTAAGAATGTTTGATAAAATTATCACCATTCAGATAGATCTTGTGCAAGGTTATATACATGCCCAAATATTACTAAACCTTATTTTAATTTTTCAAAGTCAAAAGTTAATTTTGGGAGAAATAAGAATGAACAAATTTAGCACACACACAAAACTTCAGTCATCTAACTTTTTCTATACCAGTGGTTCTCAACCTTTTACTGACTGCGTACCACTTTTGTGTTTTTTACCACTGACAAAATCCACATTTGGGGAGGGGAGCAATGTCACAAACCACGCGCTTTAGGAGTATTTTATAATATGGCACTATACCCATTTTTAGGCTGTCCTGCAAAGTTTAAACATATTAATTATTTGAAGTAACAATGTATTAATTGCGTGTAAAATCGTGAAAGACCAAATGAAAGGCTTTAATCATACCCACTAAATTAAAAAAAACTCGAACGAATCCATTTTGATCCCCACTAGCCGCTATCACAAACTGCCTGACCTGGTCTCTAAATTAAGTAGCTTGAAAACTTAAGATTATGCCGATCAGCCGACACATACATCAGGTAGCAATAGTAAAATCCGTATAATATATTGAGGCGCTATCGGGATATCTCGACACACGTCTACCGCTCCCGCCAAACGCTTCCTTTGTTACCGTTTTTTCAAAAGCAGATGCATTGTGGACGTAACACATAAAACGGGCGATAACATGCCCGTCTCGTTTTAGGTGGGCAGTCGCGGGTGAGCTCGATCTCTAAATACGAGGACTGGTAGTGCTATATACCCGTTCAGCGAATACATATAGCATGAAAGATGGGGAGAATACGTTGCTGACATATTTCAGTCAATTCAGAAGTTAATTGTTGCAATAATTCAAAGCTGCTCACTTACCACTGAAAAAACTTCCACTGGTATGCGTACCACAGGTTGAGAACCGCAGGTCTATGCCAATTACTTAGGTATACATAGTTCATTATCATTAATTCATTTTTTATTAAATCTGGACAATTTGTAGTTTTTTTACTGGCATATGGCAATATAGAAAAACACCACATTTTAAGATAAATAATGCAGTTGTTATTCTATTCCTCTGAAAATGTATGCAAACAATTTAATTAAATTCTTTTCTTTTTCAGATGTTGAACCAATGACAACAGTCAGTTTTACAGAAGGTAGTTCATTTTTTTATATTACCACAATTTAGTACCTGAACTTATAGAGAATAGTTTATATCAAGTTCGATCCAGTCAATTTAATATTTCAAATATTTTGCTTTAAATTCATTAATGTATGAATGTTGTGAATGTTTGATATTATAAAACAAATTCGTTGAACAAATACAGTATGATAAAAACATTTCATGTTCATCCGCAACATCATACCAAAATATATACGGTAATTACCACAGAGGTGCATTTGAGTACAAAGGAAATTGTTTCTCCAACAACAACAAGCATAACAACAGAGATAAGCACAACTACTGTCAGTATTCCAACAACAACAACTCCCACAACTACTATTGCCACTACAGAATCCTCTACTTCCACATCTGAATCAATTACAGGTAAAATAGGACCATTGCGATTCTTGGCAGTCATATTCAATTTCATGTTCTCACTTGATACAAGCAATGGTTTCAAGGTGTTCAAGCTGCCTCACTAGTATTTAAAAAATATATATTTAAGCGTTGTTGAATATTGTTACTTTGTTAAGGCTCAATACGAGACAAATAAATTTGTGCTACAATGCTGTAAAAAGTCCTCAAGGAATAGCATGCCAAAGAATTTCCCAAGAATAAACCGCTGATTGTTGCCTGTTATTTTTTTTTTGGTGAGGGGTGATCATACTATTTTTACTAAGAATGATTTCATGATTTGTGGCTGAGTGATTTTGCTACAACAGCCCACCGTTTATACTTGAGCAAAAATTTGTCACCTATTTTCCATATCTCAGTATCATTTGCTGTTACAACAATCTTTCCACAAATATTGCCCCGGAAATGTTATTGAAAGCATTTAAATAATAAATGAACCACATAAACATACAAATTTTAAAGCTTTTACTATCATTTCAATGTTTATTTTACCCAATGGAATACATTTCAATATCATATACCACAAGAAAGCAATGCTCATATATTCGGTCATGAATGATCTATCGCAGTGCTATACGACTTACACTACACTAAAATCTGTTATGTGCTCAAATTAAATTTTCAAGTCAACTCACAGCACCCCAACAATTTACATAGGTACCAGTAAAAATGTTGTCACTGAAGTAAAATAAAATAGCAAAATTTTTTTGAATTTTCGGGTCCCATGGGACTCACAGGACACAGGAAATTGATACACAACTAAATATAGTAGCCTTTATAAGTATAATACACATTCTTAATTACTGAAAAGTGACCTGATTGGTCCACAAGAATTAAAAAAAAACGATCCCTAGTTCCATTTTATGTTTAATAACCAAATATATAAGCGGTATATGTAGCACTTAAATTATTTCTGACTTTTGAAAATGTGTTATGTTTTTTATTGACCATCTGCACTGATATCCACGCCAATTTCTGGATATTCAAATACAATTATATTTAAGTTAGGAACTTGAGTGTGGCGTCGCGCCTTAAAATGAGAGGGTGTTTGGAAATTTAAGGGGGCTGTTTACTCCATAGAAAATTCACTGATTGAAAAGTTCATTAGACTGATATTAACTAATAATAGGATCTGTTTACTCTTGTCTGTTAACATATAGAATAAACTTTACCAACTTTAAACTTCTAAATATTGATGACAATACGAATACAGAACAGCGCATTTTATCATTTTTCCCATAAAATGTTTTTGATTGTCTTAATATGTATGCCACAACCAGGGGTGGATTGAGCCCCTTTGGTGCCTCTAAGCACTGAAGATCTTGGTGGTAGATAAGGGGGTATGGGCTATTCCAAGTGACACTACAGGACAATTCCAGAAATTTTGCATGTTGTTGTATGCAATATATTTTCACATTTTCAGCTACATGTTCTGTTTCAATGTCCAACCAGTTGCTTTATTGAATATGTAAAAAATTGCACAAAAGTTACACCCAACCTTTACTTAGTAGATAAAAAAATATAGTAAAATATAGCGTGACACTACAGGACGGCAAATCCACCATGCACTAACAGTACATTGTGTTGTGCTGTAAATTTTTGCGATGGTACAGTAGGAGCCCATAATATTTTCTGGTGCAGTAGCTGAACTACCCCTCTATGTGTTGCTCAAGTTACCTAATGTAACACTGTAAATCCATGCCAATAATGTGCATATTGTATGTGACACTACAGGACGTGACACTACAGGACATTTTTCCACTTCGGAATAGCGGCCTCTATCATCTTATAAAATTCTGGTAATAAATCGTTGAATGGGTGAAGAAATGTCCTACAGCACTGCAAACATTCAAACTTTATTAACTTAAATCCAGTGCGTCAATTCCATATGAAATAACTGTACCACACAATCAAACACTTTGTGTCAGGATCAGGAATCATCACAAAATATGTCAATTATACCAAAATTTCTACATTTCAGGCCATTTTTTATAAACCATCAAAAACCTGGGTGAAATTCTAAATTGTTCCATGAAATGAATGTAGTCCAATGAAATTCCAATGTCTTTTGGTATCGAAAATAAAAAAAATTACTTTCACTACACTTTTTAAAAAATTGATGGAATTCAACTTTTGCTTAGAATGGCCCTTATGTGTAATTTAATAAGTGTAATATCCATTGAAAAAAATCACAACCAACAGTAAATAAAACAACTTATACGATCATTTTTAGATTTTTTAACTGGTATATATAGCCGATATATATATATATATATCGGCCGTTTACTGCTGACATGATATATCGGCAAACACGCAATATCGGGCCGATATATCCGTTGAGCTCTAATCCTCAGGGAGTGTGACAATAAAGATTCATGCCTCCAGTATCAACTTGAATCGAAATACCAAAGAATACGAGTCACAACTGTAGTTTCAAATTTTATCGGTTCCTAGTAGTCTACATCAGAGTGGTTCAAGGTTGCTAGGCTGAAGGACCGCAAAAAATTTTGAGGAGGTCTCGCGGGCCGCAAGTCGGAGAAAACCCAAAAGTGATCGAAATATCGCGAGTTTACTTACTTTAAATTTAATAAACAACGAGAGGTCATCGTTCCAATCAGACTATTATTATGGTGCATGGGTGGCGTTCTTTTAAAGAAGATATATGAAGCCTTCAGTTATTTTAAAGTTGATCTTCCTTATGTCACCTTTCTTGTGACACATTTGATTACAAATTATTATATTTGAGTAATTTAAAAACTTGCAGCGTGAGCAAGCTTAGTGCCATCGTCTAATACCAACCAAGTCCGTCTAAGTTGGTATTTCGGGACCTAGCTAAAAAAAACTGGATTGTGCGGCGTTAAGTCGGCTCTGCATTTTGTCACTACTGTCACATGGCTGACGCTTGAAAACAGAGAAGTGTTTTTACCAAAATAAAGTCACAAAGCGTTAGAAAAAGGATTTGAATCTCGGGATCCCAACCCCAGTTGGAATAGCTAAAAAAAAACTCAAAAACTTCCTTCTATTAGATACAAATATACGGTAAAATTGTTCTGTGAGCCGCACGGAATGTATCAGCATGACAGAGTTTGGACCACCCTGGTCTACCTTATAAAAAAAAAACCAACTTCGCTGACCACTAGATCGTTAAAATGCGATCGTGGAACCGCCACATAGTGCAAAAAGTTCATTGGTCCAATTGTTGGAGAAAAAAGAAATTTTTTTAAAACAAAAATGCAGCAACAAGGAGAATACTAGGAAGAAAAAACAACAACAATTTGAAAAAAGACTCATAGGCCCATTTTGTGTCCAATGAATAGGTTTCAACGTTTATTTTTAAATGGACATTTTCCTGATCTTTGACCCCCGAAAAATTCTTCCTATACTTCTCCATTGCAAAATTTTGGGGTCTTTTTTAAGATTGGTTTACGCGAGTTAGCGCCTGTAAAATGAGGTACCGGTATGTGTTTCAAACCATCATTATGATTCATCGCATACAACAATCTGTGTTTCTTTAAAGTACCGGTAAAGAATTTTAGCCTAGTCTATCACAGGATGACTTAATTAATGGGCTTTTGTCACTATTAGATATAGACGACTTTTTTCTCAAATCCATAAAAAAGATTAATATGATACTTGAAGACGAAAAATAAGCGAACATTTTGAAGTTTGAGTCATCTGGTGAACTCGTAATATTTTAATAAACATCGATAAACTATATAAAATTCTGCTCTAAAATTTCTGTGGTGCCCCCTTTCTTGGTGCATGTGCTTATATTGTTAATGGTTAATCCGGTGCTGGCCACAACCTACCTAATGAGAAAAATAGCCGGGAATTAGAAAAGTCATGAAAATTACATATTTTCAGAGAACAAGCAAAAAATGGATTTGATGATCATGTTGCCTGCTTCAAAAAGCCACTCCTACAGTGATATCGATTTGATGAAAAATTGGCTCAAAAGTATTTCACGTGGCCTTTCAACTCACTTTAATCTGCGAATAGCAGTTGTTCAATATTATAAAGCTTGGGATACAACCTGGTCGAGGAGGTGGACTGAAACCCTAGACACGATGAAAATGCTAGCTAGAACCCAAGAAGACTTTGAGGTGGATTTCCAAATATGTCATTTATTTCCATTGTATCTGTTATGTGTTCACTGCTACGTTCTGATTTTCAGTTGGTAGTCCGGGTATATGCATGTTATGTATCCACATAACTTTTTGTCTGATATTGCCGAATTTTTTATTTGCCTGGAGTATTCGATAGAGATTTTGATCCTACCTATAAGAAATTGCATCTTTTTTTTTTGGCGGTCATGGATTGCTGTATGACAGAATTGTTTAATGCACAAAGTCTAGTCTCCAAATGTTCTTTAATGTTATGTTAATAACCTAAAATTCAAGAATAAGTAACATGCATACATGCTCGAAAAATAGCCTCTATAACAGGATGAATGAAGCATAGGGTAAGACTTCAACTACCTAGTTTCCATTTACAACTGCACTAATCTGGTATAAGAAAGAACTCATCACCCTGATATATTCAATGAAAAATATAACCAAATGTCAAGTATTTTCAAATCCAAATATGCAGTGTTGTATTAATAGGCTAGTTTGCAAACCATTTTTTTTAAATTTTTTTATTACAAATATATAATATATTACGGCAGATGAAAGTGGATCAAGTAACATTGAAACATCGCTTCAGTTACCATCATTTTGATATACTGTCATCTTCAGCTATCGAAAAATCAAGAAACATCATGTTGAATAATATCCGGCAGGATGCTATAAAATCGATAATCACATTGTTTCGGAGGTTAGATCAAATCTTATTACTTTTATTGTTATGCCAAATGATATCATGATCCTATCTGGTGCAATAATTTGTGATCTGTTTAGTCCAGTGTTTCCCAACCCGAGTCCGCAGAGCGTTTGAATTAGTCTGCAACGAGCCAGAAATTCACTGCTGGCCGCAAACGTATTAGCGAAACTTAACTATCAGCCAAGTTAGGATTTACGTTAGAATTTAGATAAAACATAAAAAGCAAGTTTATTCACATAACATTGATCGAGTCAATAGTTACTGGTTACTGAGTAGGGCTGAGCATATATTCAACTATTAGAATAGCAATTTACTATTCAAAAATTTGGTAACAGGTGACGCGACAGGTCAATTGCGCGTTGCTGAATCAAACGATTGGATTTCACAACTCACTTGCGGATTTCCAACGGAAAACCCAAGTCGGCACACACGTCGATAGATACCTAAGTGGTGTTTTTTGCGAGTTTGAACAAGAAGAACACCAAAAGTTTTGTTTGATGATGGTCCGTGACCGATTAAAATAGCTTTTTTAGACATTGCAGATCGCAAAATTTCAGGTGCTACCGTGGTATACGTACCAGGGCATTTTCCCTTTGGATTCTTTGCCTTCACAGTACTGGTACGTACAGTACTGGAGCGACGTAAGTGTTGTATGAACAGCTCAGATTTGTTGAATTAACAAATATATGAATCGAAACAAAAATTAAAATCTGGCACTTCACCATGCATTTTTGTGACCACTGATTGTCATGATATTTTCTGAGTAGTATTGCTTTTATTTCGTCAACACAACTGCAGATTAAAATGATCACGATTAAATTAATAATTAAGCAAGGCGATGAGTATGTATTTTTGATTGACTAATAAACTTTAAATATATTTTTAATGAGTACTAAATCAAGTTGTACTTTCTGGAAATTTATAGCAGATAGTAGGATTTTTCTAACGGCAATAACAAATTCGCAAGATCGCAAAAAATATGTATCAAAACTAAGTATAATCGGACAATATATTCTCACATTATTATATTCGCAGATTGCCGTGGCATTTTAAAGAAGTAATTCTTTCATTTTGTCTTAAGTCGACGCAACCGCGAGGTACCATGAACACAATTAAACTTTAATAGAAAGACATTTTAAATTCTCGTCGTTGTAATGGATTAAATATTGTGCGACAGAAAAGGCCATTCAATATACACTAAAATGTAGGCTCTTTTAACGAACGCATAATTGTGGCGAATTCCCGATTTTGAAATTCGTTAATATTCTGTTGTGTTTGGTTGTATTGCTGTTTCACACAGAGTACGATTGTAATAAACGCACCTTGATTCCGCAAAGGTTTTCGCCGGTGAGAAAATAGTCCGCAACCAAAATAGGTTGGGAAACACTGGTCCAGTCACTTGTGGGGACTGCAGTGATCTTAAAAAATCTTCAAAAATAATGGCCAGTTTACTCTCATTTCATTTTATATAAAAATTGAAGTCTACAATGAACCTGCGAAAACTTGAAATTTAATCTTGTTAATGCGTTAATATGTCATATATTATACATATACAAATCTACTATAGATAATTGAATAAATAAAATTTTTACTTTTCAAGCTATCCCCGTTTTCAAGATTTGTCGGCCATTTCAAAAGGAACAGCGTGTATCAGGCATCTAGATATTAACACTTTTATTGTTGGGATAGGAGCAGAAAAGAGAGATATTCAGGTGAAAATGTATTTTGTTTGCATTACATCACATATTTATGATTTAGGATAGAATTTACTTATTTATCCCGGGGGAGAGGAATAAAAAGTCAATAAGATGGCTTATCCATATGGCGAACCACGGCCTCTCGTCCAGTTACCATTCCATGTCCGGTATGGGATTAGTTATTTGTTTTCCGAAGCATGGACTTAATTGTGGAGGAAGCCGTAACCAACTAGCGGTTACGTGAACCACCCTACGTCAGCGAGGAGTCCAGCAACCCTCTTGCACAAATCCATCCCACCATGGGATTTAAACCTGCGAACCCAAGCAGAGTAATCAGAGGTGCAGTTGCGAGTGTATTCCTAAAACCTAGCACGATAAGCCACACCGCCGCGCCTTTCAACTTGTTTTATTTTCTTCTATTGTGGAAACGGTTTGGAAGGAGTGCCAAACAAACTTTAAAAATAATTTATTCACTATTCCTTGCATCTCGCCAGAATATATGAGGCATACGAAAAATTTGCTCAATTTCATGTCACCATATAGACTCTCATAGCATATTAAATTTTTGTAAAATTTAAGCTGGCTTTCGAATTTTTTATTAGATGATGCAAACTATTAATTCTCGATTATACTATAACCGCAAATTAATTTTTTTTCAGAAAATGGCTTCTGGGCTTTTATCTGATGCCGGCGTGTTTATGAGAACTGGCTTCAACCATCTTGAATCAACAGTTGCTCCATTAATGAGTGAACTTAAAAAATTGAGTATTCCTGTAATTCCACTGATTGGTGAGCTTCACGAATTTAATGGTATTGTTACTTCCCAAAAAAAAACTTAATTCTCTCTCAAGTAATTTAAAAAAATCTACCTATTTGATGCCAATTTTCGGTCGCTCCAGAAGTATGTGTATCAATATGGAGGTAACTACATTTGTTTTCCTATTTTACATCAATTTGTGTAAAGGGGCTGAAACCTATTGGCAGGGGATATTCACTTGGCTAATACAGACAGTCCCGACCGATCTCATAATAAAACTGAAATGAGGAAAATTGAAATAAAATTATGGCTTAAACCTAACCTGGTACACATACTGCGGAAGTACCAATATTTTAATTGGTACTATACTACTGTTTGATATTATAGACATGTGCCAATGATCTCAGTTTGAAGTTATCAATAGAGTCTGCAGTCTCTGCATGAAGAGCTTAGAAATAGATATTTCTGTTTGGTTCATCCAACATTACTAATATGTTCCCATTAATTTTTTCTGCTCGAGTCAAAATTAGTTGTTTGCCTTTTGTTCTAGGGCATTGATATTTGTTTGATTCAAACGTGTAATTTGACAATTCCAGTTTAAAACTTCACAATCGTGATTAAACATCATAAACAATTGATAAATGACAAGTATATATTCTTATTTCAATTTAGGTTGTTCTTATGGAAACATTCCACTTCTTCACGATGGATGTTCTTGGAGTTATCAATTTAAAATGTCCTATTCTACGGGTGAAGAAATCAACGCACACTGTAACTTAATTTTTGACAATTCTTACACAAAGTGTAGAAATGATGGCACATGGAGTTCATTGAAACAACCTTGTTCAAGTCCCTCCACAAGATCATCAAGATCAATTGGTAGAGATATTGTAATTAAATACTCACACACATGCAATAAATAATTCAATAAAAGTATTATGAAGGTTTCCCACAAACAACAATGTAGTGTTGCCGATTATTTTGAGCATCAAACTGGAATCGAAGAAATACACAAATTGAATGGAATGAATTGGTTTACCAGAATTCTGGAGTAAAAAAATCACGCCGCCATCGCCAATGATGTAATATAAACAAATATTAAATCTGTATAACATTTCATTTAGGATGCAGCAAACCTTGGACTCCCGATAATGGTTACATTATAAATGATCCTGGTTCATATAAAGCAGGAACTAAAGTTCATATTAGTTGTGTAAATGGTTTTACTCTGGTGGGCAAATCGTTCATGAAATGCAAATCTAATGGCAAATGGACAAGAACCAATTCTGTATGCAAAGGTTTGCATCCATTTATAAATAATATTTTGCTTGTGAAATGTTTTCAGAAATGTTTAATTTATATTACCTATATATATATATAGCGAACACATGTATTTACAATTGGAACATCGGAAATTGGGCTTCAATTTTTTGCAAGCACAAACATGTAAACAGTTGAGGTTTCATTACTATCATTAAAATGTAGTTTTTATATGTTAATAATTTAATGTATTTATTTTTAGCTATTCATTATTGATAGGCTGCCATATTTAGCATGGACTTTCTTCTAATATTGACAACATTTCTGAATTCCTATCACTCTTTTGTTTTCAAGAATGTTTTTGATTTTAAAAATATCAGACTTACCTTAATTATTCAATGTTATTCTAGCAAACAGATGTTTCGTTGATCCATATTTGTTTCCACAAAGTCTATTAGAAGATGGAGCTTATCTACACTATAGGGAAGTATCTGCAGGTGAGAGTGTGACTTTGCAATGCGAATCTCCAAGTGTTCTACACGTATATGGATCTGTTCAAGATGAAGTGGAAATAACATGCGAATTAGGAGGAACATGGTATCCTGATGTTATGCAACAAGTTCATTGTGGTAAATTTTACTCCTATTGATCGAATTACTGTAATGAATATTATAAGCTGTCCATTTTGATAATATCTTCATCTTTCCAATTCAAATATTTAACCTATTATCGATTTCGAATAACAAAAATCTATTTTATACTGAAATGTTCAGAGAAATTCATATTATTGAACTTGAAACATATTAATAAAAATAAAAGCTTGGTATCATGCTTGTTCTTGTTCTGATAAAATTTTGCCCAATTTGTCATTTGCAGGTTTTCCCAAACTATTTTTCTTACTCAATATTGAGAAGTACTTGAAAAAAAAATTATTTTCACCTACTTTTCAATCATCATATTATTATGTACTTTGAAATGAGTTTATATGGAGAATCTTCTCGTATTGACTGCTTTTACCATTCTCCATTTTTTAAAAAACAGACTGGGGTGATTCCAGCGAATGCCAAAATCCGAGTTTGCTGCTACCAAAGCATGCATTATTCGTGGATGATCTAGAAAATTATCCTATAAACACAATTTTGTATATGGAATGCCCTGAAGGTTTTATTCATCTCGGAGATGACTACATCACATGTAAAGCAAATGGTGAATGGAGCATTCCCAACTTTTCTTGCATTGGTAAGTAAGAATATGAACTTTCAAAAATTTGATTGATTAACAAGATCTTTAAGATTAAAGTTTGAGTCTACCCACTGACACCTTTTGTTTGTACGAACAATAGTAAAACTAAACAGTAACTCGTCTCAAACTGAAGTTGGCGGGTTGTATTAGACACCAAAGGCAAATTCAATAATAAGTTGAGTAACTTATACTATTCGATTTATGATTCTCCGAGTGTCATAAGCTTTGAATGCATGTTAGTCACATGTATCTGTTTTTATATTTTATTTGCATCACGTGAATAATGAGTTATTAAAAGAACATTTTCAAGAAGATTTTTTTAATATAATAACAATTCAATGAGCAATCATTTTGAAAATGAAAACTAAATTTGGACATGTTATAACACATTCTGTTTCTTGCATACTTCACATACTCAGAGTGAATTCATACTAAATGTCAATAACATAAATTATAAGCATGAGAAAAAGTTGTGAAAAAAACAGGTGAGAAATGAGGGAACGAATTGACTTGATTTGCAGATCTTATAGGACATTTTTGGCCGTGATAAATCTCACAACCAAGATAGAGATTTAAACATGAATTTTCTCTCTTTGCAATAAAATAAAATATGGAACTTAGAAGTTTATTTGTTTCAAGGTCAACTCGACTGTGAAGAACCACACCCACCAGAGAACAGTGAGTTTGATATAAATCTGAAGCATTCTTATCGAGTTGGCGAAACCGAAATATTCCACTGTTTGGGGGATTATGTTTATGACGGAAATCGAAGAAGAATAGAATGTCTTGCAGATGGCACCTGGAGCAACCCAGATGGACACTGCAGTAGGTTGACATAATTGAAATTTTTAGTACGAAATTCCATCTTTATTTTAAACTGATAAATAAAAATGCATGATTGTTACATGCTTATAATTTAAAATTAGTAATAGTCTAATGTAATGCGCAATTTGTAGGTATATCTCCATAAGTAGTTTCAAACAGAATTTAGGACCTAATATTAAAAAAGCATAATAACTATGAGAATATCAGCCATCACAAATATCCCATAAAGCAGAAATGACGAAGGGCAACAAAAATAATGTAAGAAGTAATAATAAAACCGTGTATAATGTTTACCAAATTCTCAATGTTGTTCTTAGTAATATGTGTTTAATTATTCATCATTATTAGAATATATACAAATGTTCTTAAAATTAAATATTGCTACACCATCCTCTGACATTTTCATCAATTCATTTTCTAGTACAAGAACAATATTGCACTGGACCACTGATTCCAGAACTTGCATATATAGTTGATGATCCCGAAGTATATTATCCTGGAATAGAAATAAGTATTAAGTGTGTTGAAGATCATATAGTAATCGGATGTTCTAGAATGACCTGTGCCAGGACGGGAAGGTGGAGCTCATGCATGAACCAATGCCAAGGTATTATGCTTAATTCTATTTATCTTATACTTTAATATCAATGTAGACAAATAAATTGTGTTTTCTATCTTCCCAAAATTGGCAAATTCACTGTTTTTGAGCTCTTTTTAATTAAAAAGCCTATCCTTATGCGCTCTGCAGGAATGTTGCAGAAACATTGCACTGAACAAAAAAAAACGAATAACTTGAACTATTGCCATCAGCATTGGAAGTGGGCGGAAATTATCAACATTTGCTTTTTTGCAATTTTGTGGTGTAGAATGTAATCGGTCACAACCAACATCAATAACAAGGCAGCCATGTGTTTTGCATTGGTGTTGTATTAATTATCTTACATGAACAGATTGCCAAAAAAACATTTTGGTTTTCGTAATTATTACAGCAATTAAAATGCAATTTCTTGGTTGATGTTTAATCTGATTTTCCCACAACTTTGCCAGGATTTTAATTTGAAGTCTTCTTTCATACATACATTTTAACCTCTTCACAAAAAGATACATGAACGTTTATATTTTATTTATGTTATAGAAATTTCATTTTTTACTATTCAGCCATCATATGTCAATTGGACAAATACCTATTATCAGAAGGAATAGGAGTGAGCGGATTCACTCCAGAAGAATTATATCATAACAAATACAATATTGACGATACTGTTGTGTTGTCATGTTCTGGCAATAGAGAGCCATTTCTGATTGGCGCTACGTCATATGTACGACCAGAAATAACTTGTAACCCAGGAGCGCAATGGGAACCCAAAGCATCTTTATTTCATTGTCGTGAGTAAAACAATTGCATAACATAACTGCTTCAAAACATGCATATATTATATGTCTTTTAAAATTTAATATCACTTAAACATTTCCAAATTCAACCCATTGCATAATGTAAAATTTATTCAAAAATTGGTATGGTAGATATATAACAATTTTAACAACTTATCTCCTCACTGCATTATCCAGCGTAATACATGTAAACGAAGAACATGTTTTATTTAGTTAAATAACAAATTTCTAATTGTATGTATGATTTTTTTTATATGCATTGTGATGTGTCTAATAAAAATAAAATATCCGGTATATCTTACTATAGAAGTGAATGTTGGAAAATAAATTACTTTTAAACAGTTGATAAAATGTAATTTTGGGTTTATTCTTGATCATCTCTGAGTAAACTCATGAATATGGTTTTAATTCTATTTTTGTCGACTTGGCCAGTCACAACTATACTAATTTATACAATTGACTTCAGAAACTGCTTGTTATTTACCTGAACAACCTTCGGGTGTACATTGGAGCTCGTCAGAGGATGTAAGTATTTTCAATGAGGGTGAAATAGTCGAATTTGAATGTGAAGACGGATATATATATGGCAGTGATGTGTATTCAATTGTATGCCAAGATGACGGAAGTTGGATTGCACCGAATCAACTTTGCATACGTAAGCATAATATACGAACCATCAGACCAGCCTAATGTGTAATTATATTTCAATTGACCAAGCGCTAGGATTGACTCAACCCAGGGTTGCCCAAAACGAATCGAATATTCGAAATTATTCGAATATCAAAGTATTCGAATACCTTTTCGGCTCATTTCCGAATAAATACGAATAGTAGTCACTTTTCGCCGTAAACATGGTGTTTCGTTCTACCGGAATCTTCAAACGACTTTTTACGCTTTCTCACGTATTGTAATGACGATGAAATAGAGTCGGCATTTTGATTGTTTATATTCAGCGCGAATGTAGGTCGCATAGTGTTGCGACACATTTGCACGTTTGCGTTGGTGGACATTGCCGACATTCGTCTTTTAATTCACAAAATCATTTCCATTAGTCGAAAAATCGACAATCCCCGTATTTCCCGGCTAATAAGTCGCTTTTCTAGACCCAATTTTGGCTTGATTTTTTGGGGTGAGGGGCGCCTTATTGAGAAAGCATGTTTATTTTATTTCTATGTGGCCTGCTTTTTTTTCGCATTAGTCTTCTCAAGCATAATTTGTGTTAAACCGTATATTTGGTTCTTATGGGTCTGCCAATCATGATATTTAATCGTAGGCCGGTTATCGTTACTTAAAAGAGAAAACACGGCCACCGCCACCGAGATAAAGTAAGTGATTTATGACCCTTTGGTTTTGCCGATTCAGCAGAAAACGACAGGGACATGAAACACAGCTGTGAAATAACCCGTGGACGTACCGTGTGGTACTTATCACATTTCAAAATTATTTCAACATTCGGGTTGATAGGTTGTCCAAAATGATTGCCGCTTTATAATTTAAATTTACCGCTTCGTTGTTGAGAATAGTTAATTCCGTGAGTATGGTTCTACCAAACAAACATGATCTGGTTCTGTTCTGACCCTATAAAGTTATAGATTGTTCAAAATGATTGTGATTTTCAACTTAAAATTACCGCTTTATTGTTAAAAATAGTTAATTCTGTGAGTATGATTCTACTAAACAAACGTGATCTGGTTCTAAACATTATTATTAGCGCATATTAGCATAACTGAACAACAGGGAACAATTTTTCTACCCGTCTTCTTGGAGGCCTATATGGAAAACCCCTTTTTTTTGAGTGCTAAAAACATACATCGTCCTATTTGCCATGTAGACTTATTAGCCGGGAAATACGGTATCTATAGCCGTAATTGTTACGATATCCAATAAATTGTCACAAGTTGGGAAACAAGTTGATTTATTGGAAAAATACTCTCACCCGCTTTCTGGCAAATAATTTTGATAATGATGGTCAAAAATATCGATAATGAAAGTATTAATACCAAATACCACGGGTATTTGTGGGCATGAAATGTGTGGTAAACTGCCCAATTATAATTAATTTCGGATTCGTATTTACAAAATATTAAAACTATTATAACTCAAAAATACAACGGCGATTTGTGGACTTGAATGTGTAATAAAGTATAAAATTTATACGACTTGTGACAATTTTTTCGTGAGTACGAAAATAAGAATCAAAAATTAATTATATTCGGGCACAATATCACGGCATTCTGTGGACATAAATTGTGAGGCAAACTCGCGATTGATATTAATTCATGATTCCTATTTTCGTATTTACAAAATACAACGGTGATCTGTGGACATTGAATGTGTGATACACTACCCGATTATAAATAGTTTTTGAACCCTATTTTCGTATTTATAAAATAATAAAAGTATTATTACACAAACATACAACGGCGATCTGCGGACTTAAAATGTGTGGTAAAGTTCCCGAATATAATTACTTTTTGATTCGTATTTTTGTACTCACGAAAAAATTGTCACAAGTCTGAAAAAAAACTCCTACTTTATCCCGCTTTTTGACAAATAATTTGGATAATGGTTGGTATTCAAAAGTATGGGCGTTTTACTAGGATGATTTTGTGTTGCGCACGCATTCAAATCCATCACCGATACCACTATTTAAAATGCCTTGTCGTATTATTTTAATTCTGTTAATTAACACAACTCATGTTATATAAAATATATATCGCAATAATCTGCAAACATGAAATGCCTGGTAATATAGCGAGGTTGTAGATAGAAGTTGTTCCATTGTTTATTGTATGAAAATTCCTCTTACACTTAGATTCTATTACTGGATTTTATTTTCGAAGTATTCGAAATTTCATATTCGAAAATAATAATTTCGAATGTATTCGAAATAGTGAACTATTCGGTATTGGCCATCCCTAGTCGTGTTGACAGTTGAAATCAAATGAATTTGATACTACTAATGCAAATTGAAACAATATAATATTTTGGGCTTTAATAAAATTTACAAGAGTATTTATTGCATTCACCGGATGACTATTTTGCCACTTGCACAAAAGTAAATATTAGAAGTAATGAATAAGAATTCTTCTCAGGATGTTTGTATAATTTTATGCTTTGTTTTTTGCAGCACATGGATGTCTTGCACCAGATCCACCACAAAACAGTTATTTTCCCCAAGCACTGCGACCATCTTATGAAGAAGGAGATATCATTCGATTCACTTGTCAACAGCAATATATTTATACCGGAAGTTCTTCAATTTTACGATGCTTTTCCAACAGAACATGGTCCAATCCAGACGGGATATGCAAAAGTTTGTATTGTTTATTATATTTCAATTATTGCAAAGTACATTGCAAATATTCCTATAGCAAACAGATTCAGATACTAAATATATATAACAATTTTTATAGTGTTACACTGTCAAGAATAAAAAAGACTTGACAATGGTTTATTAACTTCTGCCCCACTAAGTGAAAATAGAAAACACAATATGCATATGTTGGTCCATACGTCGTCGAGCATGTACAGGCCATGTGACGTATATCGCGACCAGTGTTGGCAAAGGCAGAGAAACCTTGCTAAAAGGTTCAAAAACAGTGAAAACCCATCAAAAAACACTAGAAACCTTGCTAAAACGTTCAAAAACGGTAAAAACCTTCCAAAAAAACACTAGAAACCTCGCTAAAACGTTCAAAAAGGGTGAAAAACCTTCAAAAAGCACTAGAAACCATGCTAAAACGTTCAAAACGATGAAAAAACGTCAAAAAATACTAGAAACCTTGCTAAAACGTTTATAAACTGTGAAAAACCGTCAAAATACACTAGAAACCTTTGTGAAATTGTTATACTTTCAGATAAGCTCCAATCAGATATATGTGCGTGTCCAAGCCTACCTGAACATGCGGTTGTTGTCAATGACCCCAAAGACTACCCTTTGAATACGATCATAACAATAACTTGCGAGCCTGGTTTCTTACTGGCAGGTGATAATAAATTAAAATGTGAAGAAACTGGACATTGGTCTCACAGCTCCTCAACTTGTCAAGGTACAGGAAATTTTCAATCATTTATTTAAGCTATCATTTTTTTAATCATTCAATCCTACACATTTAAGAAATTTTTCTCTAATTTTTTTCCCCTGGTATCCATTTCAACTCTTACTCAGATTTAAAACAGGCCGAACGGTTGCGACATTCAAACACCATTTGGTATGTTGACAATAAAAACAAAATCGAGCACAATGTTAATTTAAATACATAAAATACATAAAACTTCTACTATTTTTTTAAGAAATTGATGAATGTGAAAAGAGACCTTGTCGCCACAATGGTGTTTGTTCGGACGGAATCAATGACTTTTCATGTAGTTGTCCTACTGGTTATTCAGGAAAAACCTGTGAAATTGGTACACACTAAAATGTATTCAATAGCTTATTTATTGATGTATTATTATAGACAGCCTCATAGTGATATGAAAAATCAATGCTGATTATGGCCTTTGCTCGCCTTATAACATTTTATGATCCTAAATGATATGTCATATGTTTTATTGCTCATTTTGAAAAATATTATTTTGACGAAACTAATTTCTGTTGTTCAGATATTGATGACTGCTCTTCAAATCCTTGTCATAATGGATATTGCAGTGATGGCATTAATAATTTCATTTGCTTTTGTCGTCACGGTTTTACTGGAACATTATGTCAAACTGGTGAATATTTTTTTATTTTTCCATTCAATTCTAATTTTCAGAGTTTACATGCTCGTGTTATACTGGTTATACTGGATTAAGATGTGAAATAGGCAAGTATATGACCGTATTTGACTGTACTATCTGTGTCGTACCTTCCCCCACTTGTACCAATTGTGACACTTGTACTCATAGCCTCACTTGTCCTAATTGTATGACAATGGTTTCACTTGTCTCATTTTCTTAGTTCTTGCATTGCAAATACATAGATCACCTATCCAAATTACCTGGGTTATTTTATAGATTTGTGCGATTACTAGTTCACTATCTATTACCTGAATTTTAAAACCCTCAGCTATGATTAGGAAAAAATTGTATTTATCAGGCAGTTTATCAAATCTATGACTTTTCAAGTATTTGTGAGTAATTTTATAACTATTTCCTCTTTATCGTACGTATTACTTGAGTATATCTTATTCGTCAGACTTTTCGAAGTAGGTAGTACTAGTTATAGGCATGGTCCAAGACGGTTGTATATTCTTTAATTTGGTTCGATATCCAGAACTACGGTAAATCAATATATATTACAATAATGAAAATTTATATTGCGAGCATGTATATGGAACAGTTAAACGAATGGAGAACATTACCTTCTCCCAGTTACACAACAATAAATATGCAATAATATTTAGATTTAAACTAACAAATATAGTATCGTCATCGTCAGATAACTTTCTAATTAAAAGTAAACTTCAAAATCCTGACCTCCTGATGCCACAGTTGTTATTCCAGGACTATTACCAGTAATAAAACACTATGTCATATTTCTATTTGAAAATAAATATTACGTATTGTGTATGTGTAAATAATTTATTGTACACTACTGAACATAATTCAAATATTCATTGCAAGTATTTTTTGCAAATGCGTTGTATAACTACTGCTTTTGCCCTGGGAGGCCAGGTTTACTGGTGAGGTGAATATAAAAGTTTTTATTAATTTTTTAACTCTGCAAAAATCACATTATGTTTGTTTTTATTTTAAATATGAATTAAAAATCTTATCTGAGTTTATTATAAAGTCTGATAGGCTATACCAGAAAACACTGAGAGATAATATTGCAAAATTTTAACTGAACAAGTAAGGTATCCATCGCTGCAGGCAATAAAATGAATATGACCAAAATCTTCTAGGATTTAACTATTCGTTCTCAAAAGCTTGTGCTTCCGGTGTATTGCGGCTATCATTAGAATTTAGAAATTGGGAACGATATTTCATTCAAACTAATATCTGTAACAGTTTTGGCGTTTTGAAATTTAAGGTAATTTTTAAGGTAAATCTAGGGTTGATAACTTTTACACACTGAACCATGCTGACATAGGTCTTTGGCACTAGATTATACTGAATTGGTTGTATATGTATATTTGGTTGGCTATATGTATATGACATCATCTGTATATGCATATGACATTGACTTTATATGCATATTTACTTAGTCAGCTTTATACAAATATGGAATTGGTTGTATATGCATATGAATTTGGCTGTGTATGCATTTTATGCATATGTCATTGTTGTATATGCGTATAGATAGCATTGGCTGTATATGCATATTAAGTTTGCTGTATGTATATATGACATTGGGTTTTATTCAATTTGTTTCCACCATCCAAGTCCACTGCTCTATTTTATAAAATTACACAAGGCTAGTGAATGATCAGTACTGGTATATCAATCAATTATTGTAACAGGGTTTGGGGATATACCTAATATTTGCAATGAAAAAATCTGAACAGGTCATCTAATTTTTATTGGATAATTTAATTGAATAGTTTCTGTTGCCCAAGTTTAAAATCGTTATACTCGTGGTCTTAGTCGTGGACAATATTTATTAATTATCCTTATTTTTCCTAGATATCGATGAGTGTTCTCCGAATCCATGTCTGAATGGAGGATTATGCAGTGATGGTGTCAGTGATTTCTTTTGCTTCTGTCCTGAGGGTTTTGACGGAGCGCGGTGTCAAAATAGTAATTCTTTTGTATCAATTTATTCTTTTATTGTACATTTGCAAACATTATGTCTAGAGTGCATATTTTGCATCCAGGTTGTAATATATTTACTAAGCCGACAATTGAAAACTGGAAATCTACTGACGTTAGTTAGGGCTGCACATCCAGATTCCTTTACTAAGCAAAGTATGATAAATCCAAAATACTGAAACGATGAAGAAAAAAAAATTGTAATTTCGCCTGAAATTGACCTATGAAAACAGTAATACATCAAACAGCGTATTCATTTTTTCACTGTTGTATTGTGATTTTGAGTATTGCGAATTTTGCAGTGTTTCATGTAATTTGCTTAAAACATTCTTCTCCTATGATGAAACTATAACACATACTTTGAACTAGTACAGTTTTTACTCCGAGACTGATGACTTAAATAACGGGTTTTTGTCACTATTAGATATAGACGATTGTTCCTCAAATCCTTGTCAACATGGAGGTCAATGTGCTGATGCATTGAATGGTTTTAAATGTACTTGTGCTGATGGATATGAAGGAGACAATTGCGAAACAGGTAAAAAAGTTGTACTATTATCACATGGGTTAGAATTCACAGATAAATATTTATTGGTGCAAAGAACAGTCATTGTCAAAACAATCACTTTCAACTAATCACTTTCTAGTCATGAAATTGACTGACGTTCAAACTGTGTTTTGTTATTTTTAGATTCTGACGATTGTTCCCCAAATCCCTGTCAGCATGGAGGTCGGTGCGTTGATGCAGTGAATGGTTTTCATTGCGTGTGTGCTGATGGATATGAAGGAGACAATTGTGAAACAAGTAAATCACTTTTTAACATGTGAATTTAAACCTATTATACAAAATCTCAAAAATAAGTTGGAAAAGTTCTAGTTGATTATACAGGGTGTCTAAAAAGTAAGTACGGTATACACTGTTAATTTTGATTTGCTTTTCAGGTACTCATCATAGAGGTTCATTGCTTCAGAAAACATACTATGGATAAGTAGTAAAATTTAGGTATTGTTTGCATTTTTCATCAACCCACATAATGACAAGGAGATCGACCCCAGAAATGAGATGCAAAATTGCTGTATGGCAAGAGGCATATCAATCGATAAGACAACTGAGCGTCAATTTAACGTAGAAATTAATTTGTACTACCAATTCATGCAATTCATCGTAAATTTATGGAAACTGGATCTGAAGTTGATGCACAAAAATCAGGAAAACCATGGAGCAGGCACTCTGAGGAAAACATTCAAAGCCGAATTAATTCCAAATTCACTGTTGAAGAGGCGCCGAGTTTTCTCACTGATTTATATGCTTTTTGCCAAACAGCAATTTTGCACCTCAATTCTTGGGTTAATAGCGTTGTCGTTCTGTGGGTTGATAAAAAATGCCAACAATACCTAAATTTTACTACTCATCCATACTATGTTTTCTGTAGATATGAGCGCTCTATGATGAGTACCTGGAAAGAAAATCAAAATTAAAAGTTGATACCGGTACTTACTTTTGAGACACCCTGTATAATCATTTTCCTTCAACTCGTATCCAAATCTATACTTTATAACAAAATGAAATAAATTCATGTCTGATTCAGCATTCATACGAAGATAATGTATTTATTCCTCATGATATATGTTTACGATTTTAATGGCTATTTGTTAATAATGGATGAAATGGATTCAAATTTAAAAACAAAACGTACTGGCCATGCTTCAAACGATTTGATATCAGCATTTTGAAATTATAAAAATTAGTTATGATAGTTACATACAACCGCAAAATTAATCAAGAATCGTTACAGAGATGCGCATGAGGGTTCAATCACATCTGGCTCTCATTGTTCATGACATTGTAAAACATTTCTTTCGTTACATTTTTTTCATTACAGCTATATCTATACAAGACTATCCCATTACAAGGACTCATATTCACCTCCCTTTGGGAGTTTTACGACTGTTAATAAAGTGTCCATGGTGTACTGACTTGTCCCTATACAAAAATCAAATAATAAATTTTGTTACTCATGAATATTGACATACTCTATATGAAAATGTGTCTTTTTAGATATAGACGACTGTAACCCAAGTCCTTGTATAAATGCTAAAGCTTGTGTTGACGGAATATTTGATTTTACTTGTGAATGTCAAGATGGATACGCAGGGAAACATTGTCAAACAGGTGTTGTTTTGCACTTAACAAAATTTTATTCATCGTATAGGTTCAGTATTTTGCTTTACCTTATATTTTTACCGAATATTTTCTTACAATATTTCTGCATACAGTAATACTTACAGTATATAACATAATGCCAATTACAAAATTACAAGGGATTTTATCTCAATGTAATCCTTTCTCTTTTTCTGCTGGATTTTTATTATATTTGACTCATAAATGTCAGAAATCCATTGTCGAGCAGTTCAATTTATTATTAGATATAGACGACTGTTCACCAAATCCTTGTCAACATGGAGGCCAATGTGCTGATGCAGTGAATGGTTTCAAATGTACTTGTGCTGATGGATACGAAGGAGACAATTGCGAAACAGGTAAAAGATTGTACTATTATCACATGGGTTGGAATTTATAGATAAATATTCATTCGTTCAGAACCGTCATAGATTTCGTTAAACCTGTCATACCCGTCTCAACAATGCGAAAATTGGAATTAAAGCAAGTTCAAAGATATCTATTAGTAAATTTTCATGCTAGCGTTTATATTTGGTTTTGTGCATGATTTAGTTTCAGTCTGAATACAGCTCCAACTACTCAATATTTTGTTGAAATAACAAATGTGCCTTTAACAAAAATGAGAATTAATTTTTATAATTAATATATTGTCATTGAAACATTTGACCTGGCCAATTTTGAAAGTGTGAATTCTTCCTTATTTTTAAATAGCACCATATAAATGACATAGCAAATTATGCATTTGGTCATCTTCGTTGAAACAAGAATATCAATATTGTATATGTAAAAGGCCAGTTGCACAATTGGGAAATCGTAACTGAAATACTAATATTTCGGTGAAATTGAAATATATCATTTTAAACTATAATAGGCACTTTCCATTTAATCACTTTCCACCCATGAAATTATGACTGATATCGTATTTTGTTGTTTTTAGATTCTGACGACTGTTCCCCAAATCCTTGTCAACATGAAGGTCGGTGTGTTGATGCAGTTAATGGTTTCAAATGTGATTGTGCTGATGGATACGAAGGAAACAATTGTGAAACAGGTAAAAAAAATTGTACTATTATCACATGAGTTAGAATTTATAGATAAATATTTATTGGTCCAAAAAACAGTCATTGACAAAACAATTACTTTCCAACTAATCACTTTTCAGTCATGAAGTTGACTGAAGTTTGAACTGTGTTTTGTTATTTTTAGATTCTGACGACTGTTCCCCAAATCCCTGTCAACATGGAGGTCGTTGCGTTGATGAAGTGAATGGTTTTCATTGCGTTTGTGCTGATGGATATGAAGGAGACAATTGTGAAACAAGTAAATCACTTTTTAACATAAAAACTTAACCCTTATATACAAAATCTCAAGAATAAGTTAGAAAAGTACTAGTTGATAATGTAACCGTTTTCCTTCAACTCATACCCAGAAATATACTTTATCAAAAAATAAATGAGATTTATTTCTAATTCAACAATCATACGACAGTAGTGTAATTATCTTATATGTTCACAATATAAATGGCTATTTCTTAATGATGGAGAAACTGGAAACAAGTTTAAAAAAAAAGAATGTAAACGTACTGGCCAGTGGCCATGCCTCAACCAATTTGATATCAGCAAAAATTATAAAAATTATGTACATCAGTAACATACAACCAACCGCAAGGGTAATTATGAATCGTTACAGAAATGCGCATGAAGGGTCCACTCGGTGGCTCTCATAGCTTATGACATTGTAAAACATATCTCTTATTTCATTTTGTTTATTAAAGCTATATATTTATCACATCACAAGGACTGAAATCCACCTCCCTTTGGAGGTTTTACCACTGTTATACAAATGTCCAGGGTACATTGACTTTGCCCTTCCCAAAAATCCAATAATAAATTTTGTTACTCATGAATATTGACATACTCTTATATAAAAATGTGTGTTTTTAGATATAGACGACTGTAACCCAAGTCCTTGTGTAAATGCTAAATCTTGTGTTGATGGAATATTTGATTTCACTTGTGAATGTCAAGATGGATACACAGGGAAACATTGTCAAACAGGTGCTGTTTTGCACTTAACAAAATTTCATTCATCGTATAGGTTCAGTATTTTGCTTTACCTTATATTTTTACCGAATATTTTCTTACAATATTTCTGCATACAGTAATACTTACAGTATATAACATAATGCCAATTACAAAATTACAAGGGATTTTATCTCAATGTAATCCTTTCTCTTTTTCTGCTGGATTTTTATTATATTTGACTCATAAATGTCAGAAATCCATTGTCGAGCAGTTCAATTTATTATTAGATATAGACGACTGTTCACCAAATCCTTGTCAACATGGAGGCCAATGTGCTGATGCAGTGAATGGTTTCAAATGTACTTGTGCTGATGGATACGAAGGAGACAATTGCGAAACAGGTTAAAAGATTGTACTATTATCACATGGGTTGGAATTTATAGATAAATATTCATTCGTTCAGAACCGTCATAGATTTCGTTAAACCTGTCATACCCGTCTCAACAATGCGAAAATTGGAATTAAAGCAAGTTCAAAGATATCTATTAGTAAATTTTCATGCTAGCGTTTATATTTGGTTTTGTGCATGATTTAGTTTCAGTCTGCATACAGCTCCAACTACTCAATATTTTGTTGAAATAACAAATGTGCCTTTAACATAAATGAGAATTAATTTTTATAATTAATATATTGTCATTGAAACATTTGACCTGGCCAATTTTGAAAGTGTGAATTCTTCCTTATTTTTAAATAGCACCATATAAATGACGTAGCAAATTATGCATTTGGTCATCTTCGTTGAAACAAGAATATCAATATTGTATATGTAAAAGGCCAGTTGCACAATTGGGAAATCGTAACTGAAATAGTAATATTTCGGTGAAACTGAAATATATCATTTTAAACTATAATAGGCACTTTCCATTTAATCACTTTCCACCCATGAAATTATGACTGATATCGTATTTTGTTGTTTTTAGATTCTGACGACTGTTCCCCAAATCCTTGTCAACATGAAGGTCGGTGTGTTGATGCAGTTAATGGTTTCAAATGTGATTGTGCTGATGGATATGAAGGAAACAATTGTGAAACAGGTAAAAAAAATTGTACTATTATCACATGAGTTAGAATTTATAGATAAATATTTATTGGTCCAAAAAACAGTCATTGACAAAACAATTACTTTCCAACTAATCACTTTTCAGTCATGAAGTTGACTGAAGTTTGAACTGTGTTTTGTTATTTTTAGATTCTGACGACTGTTCCCCAAATCCCTGTCAACATGGAGGTCGTTGCGTTGATGAAGTGAATGGTTTTCATTGCGTTTGTGCTGATGGATATGAAGGAGACAATTGTGAAACAAGTAATTCACTTTTTAACATAAAAACTTAACCCTTATATACAAAATCTCAAGAATAAGTTAGAAAAGTACTAGTTGATAATGTAACCGTTTTCCTTCAACTCATACGCAGAAATATACTTTATCAAAAAATAAATGAGATTTATTTCTAATTCAACAATCATACGACAGTAGTGTAATTATCTTTTTGATATATGTTCACAATATAAATGGCTATTTCTTAATGATGGAGAAACTGGAAACAAGTTTAAAAAAAAAGAATGTAAACGTACTGGCCAGTGGCCATGCCTCAACCAATTTGATATCAGCAAAAATTATAAAAATTATGTACATCAGTAACATACAACCAACCGCAAGGGTAATTATGAATCGTTACAGAAATGCGCATGAAGGGTCCACTCAGCGGCTCTCATAGCTTATGACATTGTAAAACATATCTCTTATTTCATTTTGTTTATTAAAGCTATATATTTATCACATCACAAGGACTGAAATCCACCTCCCTTTGGATGTTTTACCACTGTTATACAAATGTCCAGGGTACATTGACTTTGCCCTTCCCAAAAATCCAATAATAAATTTTGTTACTCATGAATATTGACATACTCTTATATAAAAATGTGTGTTTTTAGATATAGACGACTGTAACCCAAGTCCTTGTGTAAATGCTAAATCTTGTGTTGATGGAATATTTGATTTCACTTGTGAATGTCAAGATGGATACACAGGGAAACATTGTCAAACAGGTGCTGTTTTGTTCTTGACAAAATTTTATTCATTGTATAGGTTCAGTATTTTTACATCAAAGAATATACCTAAACAATAACAAAAAGAGTTGAACAGCTGAATGTTTGAGAATGTCCGAAGGGAGAAATGTTTATGAATGACCAAGTGCAGTTGTCAAAGTCTAATTCTCAGACCTCCATTTTATGGCAACATGTTGAATAAACAAATAGGTAGATCAGAATTCAGAAAAATAACCAGTCAATATCTTAGCAAATTATATTGAAAAGAAACTTTAAATTCATTGTCGTGAATCTCAATCAAAATTAACTTTGCTGTTTGTAATTCAAATGAATTGCTATTTTTTGTTGTAGATATTGATGATTGCATTCCGAATCCTTGTCAGAATGGCGGAAGTTGTACTGATAAAGTCAATAACTTTTCTTGTGAATGTAGTCAAGGTTACGAAGGAAAATCTTGCGAAACAAGTAAAATGTCAAAGACGTATATTTAAATATTCATAAGTTTTTTATTTTTATATAGTCCTTTGAAATAACTAAAAGAACTCCTATTTTTTTATGGAAATTACTCCCTGTATGATGCTTTGATTTGGAAAATTCTTTCTTTTTCTGGCATATCACTAATGTTTCATCCATATGATACCAATTATGTCAAAATGAACAATATAATTTGGCAACTAAAGCTCATGTATGGTCATGTGTGGTATTGGACCCTTTCAAAAATCGAATAATAAATTGTGTTACTCATGAATATTGACATACGGTACTCTGTAGGAAAATATGTCTTTTTAGATATAGACGACTATAACCCAAGTTTTTGTGTAAATGCTAAATCTTGTGTTGCAGAGTATATTTGATTTCACTTGTGAATGTCAAGATGGATACACAGGGAAACATTGTCAAACAAGTGTTGATTTGTACTTAACCCAATTTCATAAGATTATTACTAAAATATACAGCTAATCAGCTGACTTTGGTGTTTGTAATTAAAATGAATTGCTATTTTTGTTGTAGATATTGATGATTGCAGTTCGAATCCTTGTCAGAATGGTGGAAGTTGTACTGATAAAGTCGCTAACTTTTCTTGTGAATGTAGTCAAGGTTACGAAGGAAAATCTTGCGATACAAGTAAAATTTTAATGACGTATATTTATATATTCGTGTGTTCCATTTATTTTGATATGCACTTTTAAAAAAAGGAAAGAAGCTCCTATTATCTTTGCAGAAATTGCTCTCTGTATATTGTTCTTATCTGAAAAAATTACTTCTTTTAGATGGCTGTTTTTTTCTGGCATATCATTAACGTCGTATCCATGGGATACCAGTATTGCCAAAGCTTATGTGTGGTATTGGCCCTTTCAAATAAAAACTAATAAAGTTTGTTACTCATGAACATTGACATACTCTATATGAAAATGTGTCTTTTTAGATATAGACGACTGTAACCCAAGTCCTTGTGTAAATGCTAAAGCTTGTGTTGACGGAATATTTGATTTTACTTGTGAATGTCAAGATGGATATACAGGGAAACATTGTCAAACAGGTGTTGATTTGTACTTAACAGAATTTCATTCATCATACAGGTTCAGTATTTTTGCTTTGAAAATTATGATTAAAACGTTGAAAATAAGTTAATCAGATGACTGTTTGAGAATGTCTGATGGGAGAAATGTTTATGAATGAATTAATGCTGTTGTCAAAGTGTCAGGCGGCCATTTTATGACAACATGTTGAATAAACAAATAGATCAGAATTCAAAAAATAAAAAGTCAATATCTTAGCAAATTATATTGAAAACAACTTTCAAATTCATTGTCGTGAATTTTAATCAAAACTAACTATGCTGATTTTAATAAAAATGAGTCGCTATTTTTGTTGTTGTAGATATTGACGATTGCAGTTCGAATCCTTGCAAGAATGGCGGAAGTTGTACGGATAAAGTCAATAACTTTTCTTGTGAATGCAGGCAAGGTTACGAAGGAAAATCTTGCGAAACAAGTAAAATTTAAATGATGTATATTTATATATTTGCAGGTTTCATTTATGTTTATATACCTATTTTATTTGCAGAAATTATTCCCTGTATAATTCTCTTTTCTGAAAAAATTGATAGCCGATGTTTTTCTGACATATTAATGTTTCATCCATATGATACCGGTTGTGCCAAAATGAACTATAAAATTCGGCACCTAAAGCCTATGTATGGTCAATAGATGAATCTAAAGTAGATTCAGACGCTGCTTTAGCAAACTTGTATATAAAAGAATTGTACAATACTGAGCTGGAGCAGTTATATATGGCTCATAGTTTTATTCTCTGAGCTAGTAATAGAGTGAAAGTCAAAATTCTGAGTGTTTGTCAGCCTAGAATTAGTAATCAGTAATTTATTTTTTCACCATACACTGGATAAAACACATTAGATATTCAAAAAATTACAATAGATATGAAAAATGAATTTTAGGGCGAGGGGAACTGCGAAAAATCAATAGAGGTTATTGAGCAGCGGTACCTTTAAAATAGTATAAACTAGTGGCCGAATTACAAAGAACTCCTATGAGTTCTATGAAGTCCTATTTAACTCCATAGTCAAAACAAAGTGCAAAATTCCCATTTGAAGTATTTCTCAATCTTTTTTCTTTTTAATTGGAATAGGTAGGATCCACTGAGCGTCCAAAGAATGATGAGCAATTATGGATATCATAGGTGATGTTGATATAATTGAAACAAACTTATTTCATTGCAGATATTGATGACTGCGTAGATCACGATTGCCAGCATGGTGGGAAATGTCAAGATGAGCTGAACGGTTATGTTTGTGTATGTACTACTGGATACATTGGCCTGAAATGCGAAACAAGTAAAGTTTCTGTGTTTTAATCATAAAGTCACGTTTCAGTCATGTATGATCGTAATTTTAAATAGAAGCAAATTAGAACTCTAGACTCAAAGTTTGCTCAATTCACATGCATGCACACTCTCCCCTAGATGAAATAGATCTTAGCTAATATAGCGATGGTTCCACACAAGTTTTGTGGAAGGTAATCTCATGTGCTCATGAGATTTCTGCCGTTCATCGTTTGTAGCCACTGGGCATTGGTAGACCAAGGGTTTGACAAAATGGAGGTAATCACTGGAAGTTAACGGGTTGATGAACTAAACTAAATGCATACATTGATAGAAGTTGAACCTTCCTGTAAAATGTAAACCTTGATGTACTTTTACTATGATATCATTTTGTTCCTAATATCCTAATAATTAAAGTAATCAGCATTTCAGTAATCGTTTAATTAATTTATACATGATAAAACTTGTTTGGTGTTTTTTATCCAGGATGGGGAGTATTCATTCGCAACAGGCAGCAGTCAAAAATCAATTTTAGCATTCCACATAATATGCGAATAAAAATCGATAATTTTGGAGTGAATATATATTCCCTCTAAAGCGAATCAATATGGACTCATAAGTGAATTATTTTTTTAGACCAAATAACCTGTTTAATCGAAGCTAGAGGTATCACAGAAGAGACTTTTACCGTTTTATGTCCACCTGGTTGTGATCAATATACATCAAGATTGTGGGGAACTGAAATTTATAGCGACGATTCGTACATTTGTGCCGCGGGGATTCACGATGGAAGAATTTCTGGTATAGATTTTTGTTAAGACACCTGTTAAAGAGATGAAAAGTTATTGAAAGGTTGTTCAAAATCTGAACCCTTGATGCTGTATATATGATTAAGCACTCCCGTAGTATTTGCACCAAGATGGCGGACCATTGTTTGTGTTATGTTTTTACGTTTCATTTCATGAATAAGTAACATTAGTTTTTCACCAATTTTCTTTGTTTCCATGTTTCTAAAGCTGACCAAGGGGGAGAACTTTATGTAGTTAAGAAAAGCGGTCAAGAATCTTATGACGGCTCAACAAGGAATCACATCACTTCAAATAATCGTGGATACGTCGGAACTAAGGCTTTCTCGTTTACTGGTAAGAATTGTAGGCGAGATTTTACCAAAATAAATCATGCACAAAACCATAAGATATAATTTGTTAGAAAACCTCGTTTTTGAAATTTGTATCATTTCCAACTTATATAAGACTTTTTGTCATAATCAGCTCGATTTTTATCACCAAACTTCAAATCAGCTGTGAGAAATATTCGTTCATGACAAAATTAAGTCAAAAATTTCATTTTTTCTGAGTAAAAATTGTGTACTAATAATTGATCACTACAGGCTGTCAATAGCTTCGCAAATAAATACACTTTATTGGTTTGTTACATGACTGTGAGGACATTTACTTCATTTTTGATTAGTTCACAATTGACTCAGAATAAACCTTCAGAATTTCTTTTTCATTGGTATCAGGATTTAATATTTGTGAAGACAAATGTCGATATGATATACGATGTGAGAGACGTGTCGATGATTTCTATTGCGAGTGTTACCCTGGTTACTCTGGCAAAATATGTGATATAGGTATGTTGGTATTTCAAAAATTGCTACGTAATCTATTCAGTCCAAGAACATTGGTCTAAAAATTTTCCGACTCAGCTAAGAAAACGTTTTTTTTTTATCAAGAAAAATGTGAGATCCAGACTAAACGTTAAGGTCATCCTGATGAACCATCCATTAGAACTAAAACAGTTTGTGACCTTCATTTGTTAAAACTGTATGTGCATTTTAATAATAAACACTGACACTAAAAAAACTCATAAATTACAAATTATTGATAAGTCTACTATCACAGCATTTGTTTATACAAACAAGATGTTCTATCTGCTATGAAAATAGCTCTATAACAATGTAGATATAGTAACATTTAATGTGGGGCGAAGATGCAAGTCATAGTCAAAACCACTTACTTTAGATATTGATGATTGCAATCCGAATCCTTGTCAGAATGATGGAAAATGTACTGATGACATAAACAATTTTTCGTGTCAATGTGAGGAAGGTTACCAAGGAAAAAGATGTGAAACAAGTATAAAAGCATTGATATATT